ATGCGCGACATAAGCATTTATAAGTGCTGTGCCAGTCAAGAGCTCCATAGATAATTTTCTGTACCATTTTATTCCTTTACGTAATGGCGAATTATAGCTTTTCATTTGGTCTGATATATCAATGAAGCTTTTATATTTATTATATTCGATGACATTCTTTGGCTTTACAACATCACCGCGTGCCTTCTGGATTGTCACCATTTCGTCGTCGAATTTGGTACTAATCATCAGAACATCTCGTTTGTCCCTCCACTTCTGAACAACGATGCCCAAATTACTTTGTTCAGCTACATGTTCACCTACTTTTAATTTTTTGGAAATGACGTTTTTGGGATTATATTTGCGGTTTGCACGCAGCGTGCCAATCATATGAGTTTTTCGATGCAGGAGTGCATGTGCAAGTGTGACAGAAGTATAGTAGTTATCAATCGCAAGTGTTCGTCCTTTGTCAAGCAGTCCATCCATAAGTTTCATCACTACATTTGTTGGTACGCTGCTACCTTCAGCATGTTCTTTTCCACAATATACGTTGAAATCGTAGGTATAACCACCTTCCAGACAAAGTTTGAATAGCTTTATCCCAAATTTGTGCCTTTTGTTGGCAATATACTGCTTGAATTTTAGTCGCCCTTGAAAAGGCAGTAAAGTTTCGTCAATGCACACGTTTTCCTTTGGAACCACGGCAGCCTTGAATTTATCTTTCAGTCTGCTAATCAAGGGAGCAGTCTTCTGCAAACGGTCATCTGTTGTTACTGAATTGTCGTTGAAGTGCAGTGTTTTACACAATAACTGGAAGCGGTTCCTTGACATTACTTTTTTGATATTGTTCAAATAAAGGTCATTTTTTGACCAGTATAACTGAAAAGATGGAAAATGACATAATCCCATCCATATAACTATACCAAGGAATCGTTTCATTTCGGCGACATCAGTGTTATGCCAAGCGGTAATATGTGCGCTCTTTTTCTTATTTTTTCCTGACACTGCAGGGCATAACGATTTATTTCTTCAACCTAAAAACTCAAAAAAATCAAAATCAGTTGAAACAAAATAAATTGGACACTTACCATCATGGATAAAAGACCATCGCCAACAAAATATTCGTAAAATTCAAATGCCGATTTGTTGTAGAAGTTTTCGTATAATTGTGCATCAAAACCTGCAGAATCATGGTCCTCAAATGTAAATTTCTGTAAATTTTCGCCGTTGACCGGCCCCCAGACAATAGCTTCATTCACTGCATTGGACACTTTTGGTTCCCCTAAAATTTCCTCTTCGGAGTCTTTAGAATGTTGGGCAATGACAGATTCTATAGCAGCATCAACATGTTCTTCGAAATTCGTATATTCTCGTTTTTTACTGGTGGACGCCACCGGTACATCTTGTTCCAACGATTTGGTATTTCCGGCCACACGTTTTCGTTTTTGATTCCGTTCCGGAGCACTTGATTCATATTCACTGTCACTAGAATCAGATGGTTGGTACTCGTCCGAAAGATACGTGTCGCCCAACAAACACTCGTCCGATTCTTCCTCCGACAGAATTTCTTGCCAATACTTTTCAAGCTCTTGTTGTTCTTTCTCGTACGACTCCATTATACCGCTCTGATCTACGTACTGACAAGAAAAAACCACGAGCGACGGCTACGGCGCCTTCGCTTGTTAGATTTACCAACAGGAATAAACAAGTCGAGGCGCGACGCCACGTTGGACTCACAATGGCATTTTGTGATAAAAATCTTACTGGTGGCCGTGAAACTCCAACGTGGACTCACATTTTGAAAAATTCGCGTGTCACATATTGATTTGAAGGTTGAAGAAAGTAATAAAAGTACATCTTGAAAAAAAAGTGATCGGCCCATGGAGACATTAAAATTTTCAGTATTGTGGCGCTTAACCTGTTAACCGGCAATCTTGTTGCTCTGTGGTCCCTCTGGAACGTCCAGAACCTCTCGCTTGCTGTGCTTGGCCTTCCTGAGTTCACGCTCGTACACACTGCAATATACTGTGTAAGGATCTGTTGGTCTTCCTAGAAACATCCTCTTATCGATAGACGCAACCCGACAATTCGACACCTCTCAAAGTCACTTAGCTGGGACACCCGGCAAACTCTACGCACTCTAGGCATTTTGAGCAATCAGAAAAAGGCTTCTCAATAAGCTACACGAAATTTAACATTTAACTGACACCGTAAATGTACGAAAACTGAATGCTTCTTTATCACCAAACAATACACACAGCCACCATAAAAATTTAACAGAAAACCCTGACCATTTTATTACTTGTTCATGGTAAGATGAATCGATATATAAAAGTTCTTGAATTCTAATAAATCTAGGTACATGTTTACCTTTTTGTCACTCAGTATATATTGCCATGTAGTATCAATGGCTTGTGATAGCTGCTTGGTCGACACTGTGGACACTTTTATCCTAAATCTTGATATGTACAAACTTCCTAATAGAATTTTGAACAAATATTGAATGAATGTATTGTAACAGTAGTTGATCTCCAAAAATATTCCAGATATTGACGAGTGCCAACTTGACAACGGTCACTGCGAAGGAACTTGTATTAACACATTAGGTTCGTATATATGCCATTGTCCAAAGGGATTTCGTCTCTCTGAAGACAGAAGACATTGTGATGATGTTAACGAATGCATCCTTCGAAATGGCCATGGCCCCTGTCAAGGCTCATGTGAAAATATTATTGGATCCTATAAGTGCAACTGCAACAACTTGAATGGTATGGTTTTCATTGTTGCTCTATGGCAGATTTCTCTTTACCACAAAACCTGTTCACCGTAAGCAGATCCACATTAGGCAATAATTGTGGGTTTACTTCCGAGAATGTATATATTTAAGTTGAAAATACGTCATTTCCGGGGTATGTAACTTTTTCCAAATAGTAGGAAACATTTCCGAAAACTGATACCGAGTGCATGAGAATTGAAAACGAATTATCTGAAACACGTTGTTCTTTACTACCATGTCAATAGGGAAGCAAAGTTTTATAATCGCGAAAAACTCGGATTTCGCCAGCTAGTGACGAAGCACTGTAATTACGAAAAATTCGGGTGGATTTAGGTCTAGATTAGATCACAGATCTAGGTGGTCCATTGAACCTAACAAACGTCTCAAAAACCATGTCATCCATTTTCGTCAAGTCGTCTAATCTTTGGCGCCTATACAGGGTGTCCGCAAAGTTGGGGTTTTCCTTTACACGACGTGTAGATCTTGAAAACATAAGCAATTTTTCTTAGTACCATATACACCAATGTCTTAAGGGAACCGAGATAAAGGGCTCTGCAACATCAAAAATATCTGAATACCGTCCTGTAGCCGCGACCCGCGACATCACCGAGTGGTACAAGGTCACTGGCTCAACCCGACGACAGAACTGGGTCGGGGTCAGTGTGTCAGGTCAGTATGCAACCTTCAACCGACGGTTACGGTCACGCGTGTAGATGTAAACGAACCCGTATAATCGATTGCGTTTCAAAAAAAAATAATAATGGCACACTCATACACCAAAAATGAACTCGTTGATATGTTGTTAATTTATGGCGAATGTCTTCAAAATGCTACAGAGGCTTCGCGAGTGTATGCAGATCGTTTCCCTATACGACATCATCCAAGGCCCCGCAGATTTTGTGTACCTGGTCCAGAGAGTCAGGGATACGGGCCATTTGGAGGAATTTCGAGGTGGGCACAGTGGGAGGCCTAGACACCCACGAATGGTGCAAGTTGAGGAAGAACTACTGAATCACGTAGACGAGAATCCCTCAACAAGCACTAGAGATGTGGCTAGAGAAGTGCAAGTATCAAAAACTAAAGTGTGGCAAACGCTGCGTGAAGAGGGGCTGTATCCGTTTCATGTCCAACGTGTACAAGACCTTCAACCTGACGATTTTCCAGCAAGAGTGCGGTACTGTGAGTGGTTGTTGCATCAACATGACAATAATCCGGACTTTTTGAAGTGCATGTTCGTGACAGACGAATCTACGTTCACGCGTAATTGGGTGAGTAACTTTCGCAACACTCATGTTTGATCAGTAGAAAATCCGCACGCTGTCCGTCAGGCACATTTTCAACAAACATTTTCTGTGAATGTTTGGGCTGGCATGGTGAACGGTATGCTCATTGGACCATTTATTCTCCCAAATCGATTGGACGGGATGCAATACCTAGACTTTTTACGCAACATTTTGCCTTCCTTGTTAGAAGATATGCCATTAAGTGTAAGACAATCAATGTGGTTTCTGCACGATGGTCCACCGCCCCATTTTAGACACGAAGAGCGTGAGTTTTTGAATGAATTATTTCCGAATAGGTGGATCGGACGTAATGGACCCGTAGCGTGGCCTCCGCGATCTCCAGACTTAACACCATGTGATTTTTTTCTTTGGGGAGAAATGAAACGCTTAGAGTACAAAACTGAAGTGCATACGGTTGACGAACTTCGTCTCAGAATTGAACAAGCTGGTGCTTTCATTCGGGGGAGGGACTCCATTCTCAAAGCCTGCACCGATGCTTGGCTACGTCGTGCACGCACCTGTGTTTTTGAATCAAACGGCGATAACTTCGAACAATACCTATAAAGTACGTTTACCTAAAAACTGAAAACGCGGCAACGCCGTCATATTTGTTACCTCTGCTCGTGGTCTGCACCACCGCCTGCGCCTGCTCGGTAGCGCATCAGCTGATTTCATTTTCTGTTGGAGCGATATGATTTCGGGCAGAGACTTCTCGTCAACTGGAGAGTGAGTACTTTTTCCTTTATTTTTTTTTACTTGGTCGCCCTCGTTTCACTACACATTACCTTTGTTATTTCAAGGGTAGTTGTTTCTAAAAAGGACAACCCCAACTTTGCGGACACCCTGTATACGAGGCGTGTTTTTTAAAGTAAGTACAGTTTTTAAATTACGCCGCCGCAGCGCTGCGGTCGCCGTTTAGCGCATGCGCGTCGTGTAGCTACATCTGTTGGGAAGCCACAGACGCCATTACGGTACCATCCGATCGAGTCTACGAGTACATCAAGTGCGTGTTGTAATACGGTTTCTCTGTGCTCAAGGCTTCAAATCAGTTGACATTCATCACCAAATCAGTGAAGTATATGGAGAAAACATTATAAGTGATGGAATGGTGCGGAAATGGGCCTTTAAAGATGGCCGCACAAACATTCATGATTAGGAACGAAGTGGGAGACCTTCAGTCATTACCGATGACCTGATCCAAAAAGTGAACTGTAAAGTGAAAAAGAACAGACGATTCACGATTTCGTCCTTAGCTGAACAGTTTCCTGCTGTCTCAAGAAGTGTTCTTTACAAAATAATTGTGTCCGAACGTTTAAATTATCGGAAATTGTGTTCACGCTGGATGCCAAAAATGTTGACTGATGAGCACAAAACCAAAAGATTGGGCAGTGCATTGAGTTTTCTCTAACGATACAGTAACGAGGGGGATGATTTTCTAAGCCTTATTGTCACAGGCAATAAAACATGGGTAGCCTACGTTACACCGGAATCGAAGCAGCAATCAATGGAATGGCGGCATTCATCATCTCCTAGGACAGTGAAATTCAAACAAACAATTTCTGCTCAGAAAAGCATGTGCACTGTGTTTTGGGACAGAAAGGGTGTGTTGGTGGTCAATTTTTTGACCCGCGGCGACACGGTCAATGCAGCAGCGTACTGTGAGACTTTACAAAAACTGCGCCGCGCAATTCAAAACAAAAGGCGTGGCATGCTGAGTGCAGGTGTCGTTTTGCTCCACGATAATGCCCGTCCACACACAGCAAATCGAACACTAGACCTTATGACTTCTTTTGGTTGGAAACAATTGGACCACCCTCCCTACAGTCCCGATCTAGCGTCGAGCGACTACAATTTGTTTATGCACTTGAAGAAGCATCTGGCGGGGCAGCGCCATTCCGATGACGAAGTGAAAACGACTGTGAAGCAGTGGTTGTCTACTCATACAAAAGCGATGAATTCTGAATTTGCAAAAGTTCTGGCCAATGAAATGAAACATTACTCTGAGTCACACGATGTTGACACAATTTCGAAAGTACATAGTGAGTTGGATGAATTGAAAAATATCATGGTAAAAAATATTAGTAAGTTCATTGTATGTTTTACAATGAATATGGTGAGTCAGAAAACAGTACAGCCTAGGGCGTAAAGTGCATAGAAAATAAAATGTATATGAAAAACTTTCTGTGTTGAAAATATGCTGAAGTTGAGGCCCATTTGGTATAGAAAATTGCATGTAGTGTATGAGAGTAACCATACCTCACTATAGTATTATTTGAAAAATATTCGTGTTTTACCCTTACTCGGTCACATCCATGGCATATAAATTTACAACACTATGGATCTTGGTAATGGGAGATTTTACTACATGGCCAAGAAACGATAAATGCCTCAATCGTAATGGGAATTACGTAGAAAAGTAAAGTATGGCCTTTCAAGTGAATAAGTTATTTTTGGACAAAAATTACTTGTTGTTTTTTTTATGTCAAAACGGTACTCACTTTAAAGACACGCCTCGTAGTTTGGTAACTGCCTGAAATTATGGGGAAGACCTGACTTGTTCAGGTCGAAAAAGCTTTGTAAGTTTTGAAAATCGATCTAGACGCACCAAAGTTATGGACAAAAAATGAAATTCTCACATTCCATTTTTCGTTTTTCCGGTCAGCAAAAGGAGTAGCCAAAATTGTTTTTAGAACACTAAATAATTTTGAGATTAAGCATGTTCCATGTTCTACTAATTCACTGATAACGCTTAAAACATGCGTGCAACTAGAACTATATTATATTTATAAATATATAAAAGCTACAACTACATCTAGAACAAAAAAATATCACTGTTTTTGAGAATTGGTCCAGTTAGGAAAGAGTAATCCAAAAAAAATTGATAATCAGTGACTCCTCTGTTATAAAAGGGGATAACTGATCTGTAGGGGAATTGTGGCACAAGTCTTGTAGCCTCCGAAATTATTCATATACTATATTAGCAGAGCGTGATTGTTGAATCCCAATTCTTGAATAAGCTAGGGATTGCAGTCCTCCCAAATTTCAGTCCAACCAAATGAGGCTACCAGTCAACCGTGCTTTTTGTTAAACTGTTCCTTTGCTTTTTTTGTACATGATTAAAATGTTCACTTTATAGATATCAGGACAATCATTCCGTAATATTTTAGGAACGGAATTGAGCTCAGATGGACATCACTGTGAAGATATAAATGAGTGTCTCGTTGAAAATGGCGGTTGTTCTCATGACTGTATCAATACATTTGGAAGCTCATTTTGCAATTGCCCAGAAGGAATGGAGTTAGCTTCTGACTGGAAAACATGCCAAGGTAGACAATAAAACCTTCCATTTATGTATACTGGTATTTTTCCTTATTGCTTGAGAAGTATTTCAGATTTTGGTATACAACTTGGTATAGCGAGGTTTTCTCGTATGAGAAGCAAGAATCCGTAATTTTTTATGGCCAAACGTCTAGAGGGTGCCACTTACAACGCTATTTCGGTAAATAACTTATCATAACTGTTTTGTGCTGCTCTGTATACAGCAACTGACCAAAAAATCTTATTTTCGCGTATTTCCACAACAAAAAAGGTTTATTTTATAATAATAATCAAGTTGCTTTGGATAATATCTGAGTAGCGTTGCTATGGTTTCTAATGTTTGTCGTAATATAGCTTTAAAATTCATGAATAATGCTACTCAGATATTAAGCAGAGCAACTTGATTATTATGTTATAAAAATGTTTTATTATCATGGTACAAATAATGCATTGGAACTTAAAAACAAATATCTCAAAAACTAGTAGCTTTAGATACTAACAAGTAAACCTTTTTTGTTGTGGAAATACAATAAAATAAGATTTTTCGGTCAGTTGTTGTATACAGGGTAGCATAAAAAAGTTGATAAGTTGGTTACCGAAATAGTGCTGTAAGTGGCGCCCTCTAGAACTTTGGTCATAAAAAATAACAGATTCTTGTTTCTTATACTATAAAACCTCAATATACCGACTTTCATGCCAAAATCTGAAATACTTCTCAAGCAATAAGGAAAAATAGAAAATAAAATTGTAACTTTGACACCCTGTGTTATGTTTAGGTCAATTCACATATTTTAGTTGGTCTGTAGTATCTCGAGTTTCGAGATTTCCCTACTTTTCGCAGACACCCTGTATAACTGACTAATTTGTGATCTCCAATATGTTTGAAACACCACATCAATATCTGCCTCTAGAAGCTGCATGAACCTAAACCCTCTTGATTACGTTTTCGAAAACTTTTGGGTACGTTTCGAGAGGAATATTTTGGATAGCTTCCACAATATTACTCTTTGTACTTAGTTTGCTACCATAAACCATATTTTTATGTATACTACAGTAACTGAAAAAAAAGCCTGACGAATCTCAGATGTTAAAATCCATTAACTCGTTTGGGCTGTAGCCCGTGAAAAAAAAATATCAAAGTTTAAATTTGTGTCTGAGATCCGCCATTTTGGTTTTATAATATTTCAGTAGCCAAGTCGTTCAAACTGTAGCCTGTGAAGTAGAAATTTCAGAGCTGTAATTTTCAGTTGTATAGTATACAATGGCTAAGCGTCCATGTAACCATTGTTACCATTGGTAACAGTTAAAAATCTTAAAAATAAATATTTTATGACTAAGTGCTGTGAAATAAATTCATTTATTTGTTTGCCAACAGCGATATGTAATAGTACTCGTAATTCAGTAAATAGCAAATTAGCTCCACGAATATATTGCGCCCTATAGTGTCTAGGTTTTGCGAACACGATGAAACTGACTCGCCTCGACTTGGTTGTCGGTTGTTACCATTTTCATTTATGGATACACTTGGTAGTCTGTCGGGGACCGTCGGTACCGGCGCGTGTCTGATCGCGGCCTTCCGAGTGCGTGGGGCCCTGCGACTATTATGTGGGCTCGTTACCATTTATTGATTTGGTTACTCACTTCGCACTCGTTAGCAGCCGTTTTGGTTACCGGCTGTAGTATGCGTGCAATTAAACATGGATGAGTGTCGCTGCGTAATCGATCAACTACTTGAAAAGTCATTCTCATTGTATAATTTTTAAGAAAAAAAGGAGATCATTGAAAATGGAAGACCAACGCCTATTTTAGATGATTTTAAAAAGGAATAAAAAAAGGTAGTTTTTAATTTGAAGTTGGTATATGGAAACTCTTGTTTATGTGGTTGTAAAAAAACAGATTGTATTGTTGGCGATCTCTTCTGTGTTATACAGAATAAGATGCAGCGGAGTCATCGATTTAAATAGTTTTAGGGCTCTAAAGACGAGACATGAAATTTCTCCGCTACATGTGAGATGTGTAGCCAATTTAATTTAGTTTGGCAAAACAAGAATCGAAAGTTGTCTTAACCAAGCTTTTAGGCAGCACACTTCTAGATACCGTATGTTTTTTTGGCAAAACAGGAATTACCGTTCATTTTGAAGAGGATGACTCTGACAATAGAGGAAATTACAGGGAATTGTTAAGATTCATTGCCAAAAAAGATCAAAAATTTTCATCTAGAAACGTCGACTGTTTTTTTCGGAGTCATAGCATAAGGCGATGAGGTATATCAAGTGCCCCAGACGCTCAGTCCAGGGATGTTTACCTTAATTTAAAAATAGTTTAAATAAAATACCTAAAATAAGCAAAAACTTATATTTGGGAGGTTCAAAATAAACTTTTTTTAATAAGATTTTTCACATCTGGTTTTGGTAACAGTTTAGGAAAAGTCACGCGTCGCCACTGATAGTATAGTACCTTTTACATAAAAAATTATGACCAAAGCTCATTTCCAGATATAAATGAGTGTGAAGACAGCGAAATCCTAAAATCCTGCCCAAAGAGCTGCATCAACACAGTCGGTTCCTACAGATGCTTAGAATTCTCAGACCTACAGAATGATCAAAGCGTTCCTCAAGTCTGCAGCAAACTGTCGTTGCCTCGTAGAGGGTTTTTCAACTGCTTGAGAAATGGTGCACACTTCAAGCTCAACAGAAAAGGCAGGAGAAGGGTTGTGAATGATCCAGGAACCAGATGCGAGCTACATTGTCCGATAGGATACAGGCTTGTTGGAGAATACTACGTTATTTGCGGATCCGATGGAGAATGGATTGGGAAAACCAGTGGCAGATGCAAACGTAAGGCTACAAAAAATTTAAGCCAGGTAGAAATCCTATAGTTCGTTCTTTTCATATTTGCTTGTTTCTGCCTCACTGCTTAGTATTCGGGCAACAGGCAGACCTAGCTAAGAGCAAAGATTCTTCTCTGAAAGACAATGTTGAATGAAACATCACTAGTCTAATCATATTAGACGAAAATACCCTTGGCTTGCGAAATAATTGTAAAGTCTGGTTTTATTGCTGCAAGGGTGTATTCAAAACATGGTCACATAAAATGGTACACCAATTTTTGTGGGAAAACTTTTTTTCGACAACAAAGAATGGGAAAACGTGTTTTTTGCGATTCAATCCAAAGTGTTGCCAGGAACGAAAAAACTTTTCATATAAAATTTTTAGGTATTTATAAGACCTGCAAAATGAGACCACACGTAAAAAGATCCGATTAATAGCAAACAAGTTATGGCCGAAAACCGAGGTAAACTACAGGTTTTGGTACTTGATAATTCGACGATGGTTTCTCGCAGATACTTGAATTTCTTCAAATTCGTAGGACTCGTACTTCTCAATAACCACGACAAAATTGGAGTAGATTAGTCAAGTAGTTTTTGAGAATTTCTAATTGTTTATTCCAAGACACCTGTTTTCCTCCCATCACTACTAGTTTATTGAGCAATATACAGGGTTAGTTCAAAGGGCATTGAATAGCAAAATACACTAGTTTACCTTGCCGATATGAATCGCAAACCATTCCGGAAGATAAATGTTATTTTTATGCAAAAAAAATGGGTTACGCTTTTTCTTCTACACAAACTCAAACATTTTGTATTTGTGAGTAATTCGCAACAAAAGATGATAGACACATCCGCTTTGTTTTAAAATGTGTATAGTTCCGTAAGTTTTCGAATATCGTAGAGCATTTGTTCAACTACTCGCAAATACGAAATGTATGAATTTGTTTAGAAGAAAAAAACGTAACCTTTGTTTTTTTCATAAAAATAACATTAGCTTTCGTAATGGTTTGTGATTTATATCACCAAGGTAAGCACGTGTATTTTGCTATTAAGTGCTCTTTGACCCAACCCTGTATATTGCTCAATAAACTAGTAGTGATGGCCGGAAAACAGGTGTCTTTGGATAAACAATTAGAAATTCTCAAAAAACTACTTGACTAATATACTCCAATTTTGTTGCTGTTATTTAGAAGTATGAATTCTACGGACTTAAAGAATTTCAATTAGTTGCGTGAAATTATCGTCGCATTACCAACAACTGTCAAAACCTGCATTTTGCCTCGTTTTTCGGCCATAACATTTTTGCTATTAGTCGTATCTTTTCACGTGTGGTCTCATTTTGTAGGTCTCATAAATACCTAAAAATCTTGTATGTAAAGTTTTTCTGTTCCTGTCAAAACTTTCGATTGAATCCAAAAAACACGTTTTCTCATTCTTTTTTGTCAAATAAAAAGTTTTCCCACAAAAATTGGTGTACCCATTTTAAGCGTCCATATTTTAAATACACCCTTGAACAACTTACACCGATGAAACCAGACTTTAAAATTATTTCGGGGAAATTTGCTAATATGATTAGACTAAAAATGTGTCTCTTAACATGAGGCAAATGTTCAAGGAGAACTAGAAACTGGTCATAAGAACATTTTGTCACCCGACGATTTCAGAGGAAACATTCTGTCCAGAATATTCAGGTCGATCTTTTTTCGAATATAATTTGCAAAGTATTTCAATCTACGGAAGCCGTCAGAAATTACATTGAAGCACAAACCGAGATCATTTCTTATTACATATTTAGCTGTGAGTTTTCAACAGAATCATGCCAAGATTACTGGTTAAGTCATTCAAGGCGTAGGTAATTTGTCTTGTGACTTGAGTGCTTTGCACTATTTCTTATCTAAAGTTCTTCAGTGAAAAAAGTGGAAGAGATTAAAGTGGACGAAAGAAAAATCTGATAATTGTTAGATGACCTTAGTAAATTATCCTGTTATTCAAGCCATCAGTTTGTGATAAGAGCGATATATTTTGTTCTAACTAAAAGAAGTCATTTTGGATACAGAAGTGTCACATACCGGATGTGACAAAAACATAGGATCGACTGTTTATTTTGACAGATGAGCCATCATTAAAAAAGTCAAGGTCAAGTATCCTCTTCGGTAAAGGCGACCTTGGATTTGACCTTGAGCCCCACCTTTGGTTTTTCAAATAGAGAGCTGTAATCGGAAGAACCGGAAAGACTACGTCCTATCATGTATTAAAATCTAAGATCATGATCAACTGCAGATGTCAAATTAAGATAAAATACGTGATGATAGGAAAAATTCCTAGAAGTTCGGCAGGATTTTTGATGAAAAACAAGGTCAGAGCTTTTGTAACTTTGAACAAGGATTTAAATATTGTCCTTGAATTTGACATTGAGCGTCTTTTTCATAGTCAGAGAAGGTGGTTCCAGGTTTTGAAAAAAGTTGAGCTGGAAATAACGCTGAAAATTGTCTTCAAGGTTGAATCCAAGGTCACTATTGAAATTTTATGGTGAAACTTACTAAATCAGAAATTTTTAAAGAATAGTCCTGCAAAGCTTCTGAGAATTTTTCCTATCCTCACATACATATGTCACCTTCATTCGACGTTTAGAGATGACCTTGATCTTAGATTCCGATACATATTCCGTTGAAAAGATAAAAATTGACCTGGGAGTAACCTTAGCTGAAGGTCACGTTGAACTTGTTCAAAGTTAGTAAAAACTTGACCTTGACCTGTTTTCAAAAATACCTTATAACATTTCAGAACTGTTTTATTACTTTTGTCATACCCAGGATAATGTCTTCCAATAAATGTGCTATTTACGAAGACTTTCGATCTTAATGGCGGCATAACCACTTGATCAAACGTCCACCCATTTCTCTCAATATTTTACTTCTTGCAGGTTCTAAACCACCCAGAATACAATGTCCAGCATCACAAGACCATCTAGTTTCAAACGAGAAAAGCACCACGCTGGTCAATTTCCGTTCACCTGCAACTAATGTTCCATGGAAGTTCGTAAAATCCTTTCCACGTTGGGGAAAAGATCTCGAGACAAATCTCACTGTAGGAAAATACACTGTTAATTTTATAGCTAGAGATCCACGCTCCAAAATGTATGCTTCTTGTTCATTCACTATAACCCTTCGGTCTTCTCAAACCTACTAAGATAAGCGTGATAGAACTCGATTTTTGTAGAAAGCTTACTAATTCAAATATAACTTTAACAAAGATTAAGTACTGTTTCAAACATCCCCTAAAAAGCATCAATTGAAAACGGAAAACACTGCAAGTGAAACGAAAATAAAATGGGAAAGGATATTGTGATAAATAACGTCTCTCAAAATGATACTTGATGGAAGGCTTCTGGAGCTTTTACCAGACAGATAAAATAAGTCTGAGCTTTTCAAAGTGAAAACAGGTTACTGAAATGCCCTTCCAAATATTCATGCTATTTGCTCCAAAATAATCAAGAGCTCTTGCTTTGGTCACCATTTTTCTCTTGTTTCAACCTTTGGAGTTAAACGAAAAAAAAACTCTTCGAATGTCTTATTAACTTTATTAGAAATGTAAAAGTAACTTGCATAAGTAACATTAACATTTATGAAATGCATAGGTACCAAATTTCCTAATATATGGCAGTTTTAGTCGAAGTATTTTGTATAAAAAAACTATATAATCCACGTATTTTCGCATCTGCTACGAAAAATATTCTGATTCTGTTTTTGCAATACCTTCATTCAAAAAGGACCACATTTAACAACGTTACATCTAGTCAGTGCTTAAATTGTATCAGAAATTGTTTAAACAACTTATATAACGCATTATTAACATTTTTTTGAGATTTTTTTTGTCATTCTGAACAAAAAATGTTGTTATGAGCTCTTCTTAAAGTTGATAGTTTTCTAAATATGTATAAGCAATTTAAATGCAACGCCAAAGACTGATCTTGTGCTTTTTATGCCGATAGGATTCTAGGTTGTTTAGCCGCTAAATGAAACCTTATTTGTTTGAATTTCCTCTTTTTACTAAGGTTTCTGCTACTACGGTGGTCTTTTTCTCAGTATAATGTCATTATCTGTTATGAGCTGTACTTTGAAAAAGGCCGCTATGGTGGCCGTAAGTCCTGTGAGACAAATCCAGATACTTCCGAGATATTCTGGATAAATAATATTTATACAGTATTCATTACGCTCTTGTTTACCCTCTACTATTTTACGAAATAATAATTACAAAAAGGTTGACGTTGACTAATAAATTGCAGACAAATTTATTTTTATAGTGGTCAATATATTAAACATTGAAACGTATTATTAACAAGATCCAATCAAAACTCAAAACAAATGGACATGAAAAACCATGACATCAACGATTTTCTTCTTTGGACCAAAATTCTATAACTCCATACGAGAATCATCAAAGGCCACAAAGTCAATTAGGTCATTTAAAAAAGAAATTAAGAAATGGATTTTAGATCCAGGATGCTCCATCCATGGAACTGTCAACATGAAAAATCAGTATCAAAATCAATAATATTTTACTTATCACTATCTCTCATAGAAATAATACTTCTACTTACGAATTATATAGTATTTACATTTTTCAGTCATTCATTGTGCTTTTAGTTTTAACAAGCACAAGTGCAAGTGTACAAGTATCCTGTGACAACAAATATTATTATAATTATTATGATTTTGTCAATGAATGTTTGGGGAGTAATTTAGGAACTTTATCAACATCAAAGCTTTTGCCTTTTCATATTGTTTTTCGGGGTCGAAAGTGACAGATCTTGACCTTTTCCAGATAGTAAATCGATAATTATACCGAAAACTATAATCTTTAGAGAAAAATTCGTAGGAATGTTTTTTATTCAGAAGTGACGCAAGGAACCTAGGAAAACTTTGTTCAAGGCTAATAACTGGTTTTTCAAATTTGTTAAAAATAGTTTGAATAATCTTAGATGCACTTCTAAACCTGCGGATTCGTGCAATGCAGTGCTTTTTGGATAAGACTTTTTTTTTAACTAGTTAGAATAATTTACCTAGCGGATTTGTAGACTAATTATAAAAACAAAACTGCAGCCTTATTTATCTACTCCACTTAAAGAATACTCTTCTATTACTTCTAGCACTAGATGGAAGTCTACTTTCAGAGAATCGCCTAGGAATCTGGTGGTGTTGACTGTAAGTTTGACTTTGACTTTCTTCTGGACCGCTAGGTACCTTGACGTGTCTCCAATAGCAACCCGCTTCTCTTGTTATTAAATTCTGAAAACATAAACGACATTGGTAATGTTCATACCGTGGGTAGCTAATCACAGGGCCGTCTTGCTTCATGCGCTAACACCGCACCGTTGCAAAAGATGTCGCAGCACCAGCTTGTGTAAACTGCGTGCTTATCTAAACATCTAAGCTATTATATACGGTGTCCTCAAGGTTGGGACTTCCCGTTACATGGCTATAGATCTTGTTGAAAAGAGCAGTTTTTTAGTAACATACATATTTACCAAAGTCTTAATAGTTAGGCTCCGCAAAATAAATCAAACCTAAACAAAACCTAATCCGTTCCTGCACCTCGATCAGATCGAACATGAACATGTACGATGAGTATCAATACCCAAGCCAGGCGCTGGCCGCGTTGGTAATCAAAACCTTTCCACATGGTACTAAAAAAACAAAACAAAAATGGCACGCTCATACACAATATCGGATTTGCCTGTATTATTTTAGTTTACGGTGAGTATCTTCGAAATGTTACCGAGGCTGCGCGAGTGCATGCAGATCGCTTTTCAAGACTTTTCGCGATTTATTTTTTTTGTTTGGGGAGAAATGAAATGATTAGTGTATAGTGTATCCAACTGAGGTGATCACGGCTGGCGAACAACGTGTGCGATTTTAGCAATCTTCTTCATTCATTCAGGAAAGGCAGTCCATTCAAAATTCTAGTGACAGAGCTGTACTTAAAATTGCTTTTTGATGAACGGTGAGTACTTTTCCATTTATATATATATATATATATATTTTATTTTTCGCTGTTGTTTCACGACACATTACTTTTGTTATTTCAAACGTAGTTGTTTCTGAAAAGGAAAGTCCTAAATTTCGGAACACTCTGTATAACGCTAACGCACAGCGCACGATGTGATTGAACTAGTGTATTAACAGGCGGAATGGCACAGTCCTTTGGTTAGCTGACGACATTCAACTTTTGATTTTTTAGACAAAAAATTTACAATGCTCATCACGGGATTGGGTGCCTGCCGGCTCTATTCTAAATTATTTTTGAACTGTTTAATAAAAAATAGCATAATTAGGATCTTCTAAGTTTACGGTTGAATTTTGATCACAGTGTGAGTCTCAGCGTTGCGTGGTTCGCGAACTTGCTCGGATGTGAAAGGACCCCGCACAAGATATACAGGGTGTTCCTTAATGATATGCGAATATTTAAGGGTGTTAATCTACATGAAAAATTAATGTTAGATTGCTTTATAAACTAGGGTCCAAAAATGTTTCCTTACAAAAACTCGGGGTGTTGAAGTTTTAGGAAAAAAATGGAAATTAATTAATATTTTCAGAGCCGCTTCCGATATTTCACTGATATTAAATACGTAGTGAAAGTTAATAAAGCTGTATATTTTTCAATGCAAAAATAATGTTTAGCTATAACAATGGCGTGCTTACGGGTATTGACAACATTTTTCAAGAAAAAAAATAGTACGCCAATGGGTTTTTGTCAAACAAAAATTATTTTTGAGTTCCCCGTTCAATTTAAAATAAATGATCTCTCTTGAATTGTTTTCTTTTGATGCGCCATTTTTGAGTAAAAAATAAAAACCGTTCTATTGTCTAACTTGCAAAATGATTAATTATTTAATTGGCAAAATTAAAAACATTAGGAGTAATGAACAACAACAACTAACAACATAAACATAACATTTAAGCCAACGAAATGATTACAAAATTGTTGAAAATGGCCCCCTTCACTTAGTATGCATGCTTCCGCCCTCCTTCTCATGGAATTGCGCACTCGTTGAAATATCACTGGAGTGTTTTATATTCTATCACAAGCTGCACCTATTATTTCTCTTAATTCCACAGTGTTAATGGGACTTGTATACACCAGTGTCTTAAGATAGCCCCACAAAAAGAAATCTAAACTGTTGAGGTCTGGGGACCTTGGTGGCCATTCTTGGGGCCCACCGCGGCCAATCCGACGATTTGGATAAACAGTTTGTAAATAATTACGAACCGCTACACTGAAATACCACATATTGTTTCTTATTACTAACGGAACATCATCAAGCAGCAAAGGCAACTTGTTGAAGAAAATTGAGGTAAGTTTGTCCGTCAAGTCGTCCCGGTAAGAAGAATGGGCCAATAAAGTGGTTGCCAATAATTCCTGCCAATACGTTAACCGACAATTGGTGTTGGAAATGGGTTTCGGTTATGGCACAGGGATTTTCTTCTGCCCACAAATGATTATTGTGGAAATTCTGAATGGCATTTCGAGAAAAATTAGCTTCGTCCGTGAACAGAATCATTGATTCCAATTGCGGATTTTGTATAATTTTTTGAAGATACCCCTGACAAAAGGTCACACGCCTTGGAAAATCAATGGGATGTAATGCCTGTACTCTTAAAATATGGTAAGGATATAACAAAAGATCTACTAAAATTCTCCAAACAATTTGATGGCAAATATTTAAGAGTCTAGCGATCTTCCTCGTACTCGTTTCAGGATGTTCTTCGACTTCGTGCAGCACTGCTTCCTCAATTTCAGGTGTTCTCACACTTAGAGGTCTACCTGCAGATGTTCGTTTTCGGACAGAACCAGTTTCAACAAGACGACGATGAATATTAGAAAGGGTTCAACTGTCTGGGAAAGCACGATCGGGATATCTCTGGTGATAAATCCCTCTGGCTTGCTCACCATTACCGTCGACAAGGCCATATACGTAATGCATTTCTGCCATTTCTGCATTTAAATAATTCACCAGTACTAACAAGATTGTAAAAACTAAATAATGAAAAAGATGTCACCGCGAACACATTTGAATAACAGAGACTTGTCAGATGTCAAAAGCCAGTGACATTCAAGAGCAACTAGATATTTATTGCTAAACTGCATTCTTCAGTTATTACATTAATTTTCTCGGACAATAGAATGGTTTTTATTTTTTTACTCAAAAATGGCGCATCGAAGAAAAACAATTCAAGAAAGATCATTTGTTTTGAATTGAACGGGCAACTCAAAAATAATTTTTATTTGGCAAAACGCTATTGGCGTACCATTTTTTTCTTAAAAAATATCGATGTCAATACCCGTACGCACGCCACTGTTAAAGCTAAACATTATTTGTGCATTGAAAAATATGCGACTTTATTAACTTCCACTACGTACTAAATATCAGTGAAATATCTTTAGCGGTTCTGAAAATATTAATTAATTTCCATTTTTTTCCTAAAACTTCAACACCCCGAGTTTTTGTAAGGAAACATTTCTGGACCATAGTTTATAAAGCAAAATAACATTAATTTTTCATGTCGATTCACACCCTTAAGTATTCGCATATCATTAAGGAACACCCTGTATAGAAAATGGGTCCCAGTTGATTTGCCTAAAAATTCAGTATGATGTATTTCTCGCCTTCCCGAACAAAGTATCTTCTGTCACTAAAGCAATCTTACGATTTTTTTCTGAGAAATGGGGGGAATAAGTTTGCCGATTTGTAAAAATGGTGAATGTGTACATAAATTCCTCGAGAAAACCATTCAAGTGCAGCATGTACCGAATATATGACGGCGGCACACCCAAATGTGGGCTACCGATAGAGAGTAGGACGCAAGTACATTTCAGAGACCCAATAAAATATTAACTATGGGTATTTTATCAAAAACGTTATGAAAATGACGAAGATTTACCTGACGATTATGCAATAATTAATCGGCATTATTGCAGATATAAATCTGGTACCCAAACCCTAGGCACTCACTCGTGTTTTTTTTATAGGTCCTCCAACGAGATTGGAGTTCGTTATTCTTCGAAGAAGTTGGCAAAACCGTTTGATATGCCGGAAGCAGAACAAAATGAAAAACTCAAATTAATAGTCATTAAAATACAATACTCTAAGCTTATGTTCATATTAATTTCTTTCTCTTTTTCGTCAAAAATGAATATAACCTTAAGTTGTCTTTGTAACGGTCATAATCAAACACAACCATGACTCTTCTGTGCCTTGAGTGACAAATCCACTTCAGCGTCGACGAATGTATAAAAATAAGCTTGCCCTAAAAAGATCGTGAACAAGATCAACATGACTCCTCTCAATAAATTCCTAAGGGGTTTCCAAAGGAAATTTTCTCCAGCGTTACAACTCTCTGTATCTTATTTGACAACTACAATGGACACATCGATCATTTTTGCAAATCGGCATGGGTATGATGTAAAAAACCTATAAAACGTCAAAAAAACCTATAAGATGTCATCTTGCAAACTAGTTAGTTTTTGGGGCGCAGTAATTCCACGTTTGCTCACTAGGATCGTTGGGAACGTCCATCTAAGGAGGAATCACTCAACTAAACTACACGCATTATTGGTTGCATATGTTTTGTGAGGTCAAATGGTCCTTGTCTGTAGTTTTTATCTCTGGGAAGAAAGTTGGTTGAATAGCATCTGGATGATTATGTGTATTGGTCTGTATGTGTATAAAATCAGTGATATTTCCTGTGTGAGAAAATCATTAATGAATATGCTGCCAATGAAGTATATCTATTGGCTGTGCCCGACATGTTATTTTTATGTTGTGCTTTCTGAAGAGAGGTTATGTTTAAAGTTATCAATGACGCAAAACTAAGGAGAATTACGGGCAATCATCACAGCGCCCGCGTTGTGTGTAATTACTGTTAGCATTTATATGGCTTGTAAGCGTACAGTGAATATTAGTATTTCTTATTCCTCTCATTTTTTAAATTCAACAAATTTGTATATGTAATTTCCAGAACGGATAAGAAAAAGTGGATGGGCAACTAATTTCTAGCTTTGTATCTCAATGTAGTGTATTTGAGACAAGAACCCAATGTAATTATCATCAATACATACAACTTACAGCTTAGACCTCCAATAATGCCATCTCAGAAGCAGATTTTACATCACATCAGAGCCAAAGATTGATAACAAGCCTCATGACGTTGAGGCAACACGTACAACTAATAACTTGTAGAAAAACCTACATAATGTCAAAAAAAACTAGCATCATGACAAAAAAATCGGCATAATGTCACTTTTCAAGATACGTGATACCCGTGCGGGCAAGCTCCCTCCCCCTGTTTCTCAAAAACTAATCATAGGATTACTTTGGTCCCATCAGAACTTTTGAAAAAATGACCAATTTTACAGATTTTGTGCGATGTCCTTTACTGATTCACGAAACAAAATGTTGCAAAGCAATTTGGCTTAGTGACTGGACATGAATACCAATACTTACATTATAACTATCTGGGGGTCCCGTCATATAGTGCACACCACTTGGACAAATCAAGACAGCTCTGTATTTGCCTGCCGTATTATGATTTGCGTAGAGAGGGAGATGATTTATGCTATTTGATTCTTCTGGCTCAAGGAGTTCATCTGAAAAATACGATTGGTGATAACTGGAGAATGCTTTATGAGAATTTTCATTTACCTTTGATAGTTACTGTAAAGTGACAGAATCCTCTATTTCCTGCCTCGTCTGAAGCTACGTATGTGATGTGGTGTTTCCCTTTACCAAATTCACTTCCCGGGTCCTAAAAACAATAAAATAACGAAGTAGTTATTTGAAAAATGATTTTGGAAGGTCATTTCAGGCTTTCATTTTGGAAATTTGCACAGGTACTTGTCTTTCTTACCCTAGACTTGAAGACGCTCTTAACACCCACATTATCGTAGAACTGAGGCTCTATCCAAAACACGACTTTTGCCTTTTCACCTTTAACCAAATTTCTCTCAATATTATCTGGGCATCCCATAGTTTTTGGCGGTTCTTTATCCAGCACGTTGATCGTGACCGCACATGAGGCAGTATTATTGAACTCATGATCTGGTGATGAAGCAGTAAACGTCACTTCTGTTCTACCAGGTGGAAGAGTTGTACCTAGGCGGATCCCCCATGACGGTATGGATGAAACGTAGCTGCAATTTGAAAAACGTTTCTGTAAACATCTACGCTTGGTTATTGTATGCTTAAGGAAACGCCGTATCCGTTTCTTGTATAAACAAAGTTAAAGCTAGCGCATACCCAGGGATGGAAGGAAAGAACTTGATTTCCCTTCGGACAACACACCTAATAAGAGGCAGGTTTTCCAGCATTAAAAAGAGAAACATATTTTCTAGTATACAAGTCGTGACCAAAAATGAAACATCATACACATGATCGCATTTTAAGGGAGATCTCCTATGTAACATTTTTTCGACGAGGGCTTCATTAAAAAGATGTGTGTTGAAGTTTAAAAATAAAAAAACAATTTTTGTCAATATCTTCAAAACCGTCAACTGGAATGATCTAGAATTTGGTATGTGGATTTACCTAAGTATTGTCCACATTCAAAAGTCTTTACTCAAAATTAACGTACACAAGCGACAGAGATACAGGGGATTAGTGGCATTATTTTTCCAAGTAAAAATAGTACGCCACTGTTTTTTTTTTAGAAAAGCGCAATTTTTCGAATTTTACCTTCAATTTTCAACAAATAATTGGGTATTTCTCAGCAAATTTCGAAATTCATGTCCTGAACCATTGATGCTAAGTTGCATGGATTTATCATCAATTTAACATTTTTATCATATCAATAAGTATCTTCACTAATATTTTAAAAGCAAAAATTTAGATAATATATTGACACAAAAAAATACGATTAATTTATTAGTCTAAAAATCATTCCCTCATCTCGAAACTGGATCTGAAATTAATAATAAAAAATATATATACAATCCAATCTGTTCATATTCTTATAAATAGAATCTTACCTAAAATAGTTGGTAATAAGTATGGATTGTATAGTCAAGCTTTCATTGCAAAAAATAAATATGTATATAAAAAATCTATTTAAATTATGTCTCTTGAAATGAAATCATTCCCTCACCGATTATAAATATTCGATTTGTGCCACACCATTTGATATTTTTGAACGCAGCTGTTATGTTCTTAAAACTTAGCAATACTGCTAATAATGTCAACATGGCGAAATTTCTTAATAGTGAAAAGAGTTGCTGCAAAATGTGGGAATATATAAAATTGTGGTTAGGGTGTTATTGTTTAACTCCAGGTTGTATAGCATGTGTTTTCAATTTTAACAGATATCCGTATATCAAGAATGGGGAAAATAAAGAAGTTAAGTGGAGAAGAAAAGAAATTAAAAAAGGGGTACGACAGAAAGACGCGAGAACAAATGAAAATTAATGCTGAGTCTTTAGAAGCTTTGCGTGAAAAATAAAGATTAAAGTATTTAAAGAAGAAGTTAAGTCAATAAGTCCTATGAGTGCAAGAGAAACTATCCAAAAACGAAAACAATGGAAAGAGAATAGTAAAGTTTATAGGGAAAAGTGAGTTACATTACAAACAAATTTACAGAGAATAGTTGAAGACACACCCCCACCAAGTCCTGCACCATCTTTACAGCACAGAACAGAGAATTTGTCTGCTCTCAATAGACGTAGAATGCGCAAGCGGCGAACTATTCTGTCCACGAAGATTAAAAGTTTGGAAAATAAAGTAAGAACCGCAGTCAAGCTTAGCGAGAAATCTAAGAAGAGCTGTTTGAGATTGGAAACTAACAATACTGAGCCAAACTCTCCAGCAACTAAAGTGTCTAGTACAAGTTCCTGACGTTGTAAGAAAAAGACTCATTTTCGGAGAAGCACTGCCAACGGACCTCAAGAATATCTGTGAAGATCTTGGAAGTAAACATGGAGAAAAGAAAAAATATTACATGTTGAAGCTGCAGTAAGTACAAAAGATACAAATTGCTATATAGATCGAAATATTTTTTCAAAAACGATACTACAAAGAGGACTGTACTCGTAAAGTTAGCTCCAAATTGCTGAAAGTTAGGGATGATGTTCATTTCTTAGAGAATGATGAAAATGCGTGCCCTTTAAAGTATAAAACAAATCTCAAATCTCAATGCATCTATTAATAAATTAAATTATGTTTTTTATTGAAATTCAGCATTAAATTGTTGTAAAAATCAGTCCCCCATATATATATATATATATCTGCAAAAAAAAAGATATGTTTTCATTATTTTTTTTAAGAAACGCAAAATCCGCAACTTTGTTGAGAAATACCCAATTATTCTTGTGTTTTTTTTTCCTAGAGTGGGCTGTTTTCGTAAGAATAAAAAAACAAATTAGATAGTCATCACCGTTCTGACTGATAATAATAATAAAGAAAAATATATTTCCGCAAAATTTGTTGTGGCTTGAAATTGATGAAACGAATTATCTATTCTTTCTTGTAACTGATCAACAGTATTATTTTTTTCAGCACATACTTGTTGTTTAAAATCATCCCACTAAAAGAAATCCAGGGGCTTCAAATCGGCAGACCTCGCAGGCCAATGTACGGGTCCGTTTCTGCCAATCCATCGTTGACGAAAATGATTATTTAACCATGCGGTTATGTCACGACGAACCATTGTGCTGATACCACATTCATACTCTCATTGCTAACGGAACATCATTTTCCATGTACTCGTAATTCTCTAAGTATGAGTTTGCGTTTAAACAATGTGGCAATTCGTGCATAAACAGTTGGCCATTGAAAATGCCGCACCTGACATTTCTAGAAAATCTGTGTTGAAACGAGTGGATTCTTACAGAACGGGGATTTTCTAACGGCCAAATATGTTCATTATGAGAATTAAAGGTTCCGTTCCTCATGAAAAGCGATTCATCTGATCACAAAACCAAATCAATAAAATCTGCGTTTTGATTATGCATTGGCAGTAACAACTCACAAAAATTTCGCCATTGCACTTCGTCACCGGGTTTTGGACATTGTACATTTTGCCAATGGTAAGGATGTAAAACTTCCCGGTTTAATATTCTCCAGGCAAGTCTGAGAACGTGGTAACTAGGCTGCAATCCGCCTAGTACTTGTACTAGGGCCATCCATTGCCAAATCAATCACTTCCAGTTCCTCTTGAACAGTAAGCCGAACACTATGGCCTCTAACTCCGGGAAGCTTAGCAATTCAATATTACCGAAGTCTTAGAAATGAACGCGTAAAAACGTTTGAGGTAGGTTGACGTCTGTTAGGATTTCTACGTTGATACTCCCGAGAAGCACTTCCATTACAGAACCCGTACACAAAAATAATATCGGCCTACTCATCATTGCTAAATTCCATTTCACAACACTCAAATATGAGAAAAAAATTGGTGGTAGTAACGATAATAACCGTATAACACATAACTTTGACAAACTATACTCCCAAGGAACGTCCAGTTGATGTCAAGGCCTCCTATTTTATTTTGAATCTAATTATCTCGGCTCTTCATGAATGATCTAATTTGTTTTATTTTTATTCTTACGAAAACGGTGTACTCTAAGAAAAAAGCACAAGAGTATTTATTTGTAGCAAATTGAAGGTAAAATTCGAATTTTTTTTATTTTTAAACTTCAACACCCCACCCCGTATCTTTTTAACGAAGCCATCGAGGAAAAAATGTTAGAAGACCCCCCTTTAAAATGCGGTCCTGTGTATGATGTTTCATTTTTGGTCAGGACTTGTGAATCACCCTGTATAGGACAAGTCTCCCAGCGGTAGCTCCAGTAGCGCTATACCCTAAAACAACTAGTGCCTGGGGGTGTTCTCGTATGATCAATCCCAACTAACAATTATCACTCGTATTAGAGTTGCAAGAATGATTATACAGTATTCCTTACACAGCATTGTACATATATACTGTAAGAACATTGGCAAAACCCTCTTAGAACAGCTATACAAGTGGAATGGGCACACCTAATAGGACACTTCAGTCATTTAAGAGGTTGTATAAGGGCTGCAGGTAACAGTTATACAACAAAAGTGTAAGCCTCTTGCAGCCGCTATAGGACATTTGCGTCAGTGCAAGATTCAGTTTTTGTCAACTATACAACTATTCTGTTACATGATTCTACTTTATTGCAACCAAACTATTTCTTATGTATTGTATAGAGGAAGTGAAAAATATATAACTAACACATTACAGTCATCTTGTTTACTTACATATCGGCCATTGTGAATTTCATACACAGGTATATGATACACTGTGATATAGGGCTATTGAATTACTTGCGCAGCAAATTTTATTGTTATTATCGTGCAAATTAGTTACCCAATTTCTACGGGCTTCGTATTTGATTCATATTTTGACAATGATCAAAAGTGTGTCTAGATTGAAGATGGAAAACTGAACTTATCTACGTTAAATCTTCCACAAATCCTATATTTAGACACAACTACACTAATTTTTATCACTTTATATCTGTAATTTCGAACTGAAACATAATTATTTAATACTAAATAGAGAAATAAATGTTTGCCCAATATGGTGGGTCGTTATGTATAATCATGGCATCGTCCATGTTGTCTTTGGTTTATTAGAATATTTTGGTGTTGTTGGCAGGCGTTATACAACAATGTGACAAATGTCTGAAATGAAATACCGACAGAGTCGAATGATTAACCCAGAATTTGTACCAGATCTATATCTTCTGTTTGAACAGTTGATAAAACCTTATGAACCAATATGCATACGTTGTTTGTCTTAAAACCTTGGTTATGGCATTTTAACAAAAATATGACAGCAGAAAGTTAGATTATGGTGAAGTTGTATACCAACATATTTAGCGTATACCGAGCACAGCAATTTTGTACTACAAAAGTTGTAATATTGTTGTAGATGTACAGCCTTTAACAGTTACTAAACAACAGTTGTATACGTGCTTCCGTTGGGAGTAAATTGTTGGCTAAAGTAGTAAATTTTCACAGCAAAACAACAAGGCTCGGGTTTGTTGTATAAACTTTACCATGGATGCCTTAACACAACCATTTTGATTAACGTGCAAATATGTCGTATAAAATAGTTGTATAAACGTTTATACAACAGTTAAAAATTTGTCCTATGAGGTGTTGTATAACTATATTATAAGAATATTTTAAACACCTCATTTTACAGCAAATATGTTGCAGAAAGCAAACTTGCATTCCACACAACATTAAGCCAGCATTTTGGTGTTCAGGCAACAACAATAAAGAGCTTTTATGGCTGAGCGGTTCTTTTACCAAAAGCTTATAGCACTACTTTGCTGGTTGGGATGTCGCATGCGAGATAGCTGAATTATCGAGAAATACTCATAAAGTGCCTTCTTGAATCTCGCAGCGACATTTTTTTTCGACGAAATCTCGCGAAGCTAAGACTATGCGACAATGAATGTCGAGTCCCAGATTTTTTCGCCTTTGGACAAAACGGCAGCCGACAATGTAGGAGTATGAGTTGCTGTAGTACTTTTTTCTTCATTATTGACCACATTTTTCTAACAGCCGTCTTAAAGTCAAATAACAAAAGTGACAGCATAAAACTTAAAAATGATGACAATAATCAAAAATAAAATTCCACTGTCGCATCGAGGAATCAAAGGTAAGTTATAAAGAGGCAAAGCGTGGTTGAAATCAGTTACTTACTGACTCCATTCAACGTTAGTTTCAGGTCTCGGTATTCTCACATACGTGTGATGTTGACCAGGTGGTAGTTCAAATTCTAAGTTACTTGGACATTTGATATACATTCTCGGCACAGCTGAAAAGAAAAAATATTCCTATTAAGCTTCATGATCAAATTATATTAAGACTACACTTTAACGCATAAAGACCGAAATTGTTTTTTTTTTTTCGGAAAAACGTAAAAAAATCGTTAATCATTTTTCAAGGAAATTGATGTCAAACTATAAAAAATCGTTGTTTTTCTATAAAAAAGGTTCTAAACTAGCCGTGGAATAAGCTAAAATAACAGTTCAAAATAAATACAGTAAATTATGATATTTACTTGGTAAAAGTGTAGAGGTGTTGTGTTGTGATTTTTCAATGCCTTTTTGAAATTCCTTAACCATTTTTTTTTTCGCAAATTTTCAATGAGATCAAACTTATTGCTTTTATAAGAACTGTTTGATAGTAGAAACAATTCTCAAGTGCCATTGTATAACGTTTATTTCTTGTTAGATAAGACAAATACTGTGCATTGTTGCCAAATTGTACGATTTTCATCGTTAAAATAATGTAAAATTGCATTATTGCCATGAATATTGTCATACAGTATACAGTGTATGTTGTAATCATATAATTTAGAGCATTGTTTTGTGTAAACAAGAAAAAAACAGCTCATGAAACAGTATTCTATACCACAGTATAATCACCCAAAATGCCACTTTAAAGCTCTGTAAAATAGCAAGTAGATGCTTCCTTAAAAAAATGATATTTTTGGTCAAGTTACATCTAAATCTTTCATTTTCTAATAAAAAATGAAATATTTGCGATTTGCGCTAAAGTGGTATTCAGCCTCAAATTCCAAAATAGGTTAATTTCAATGTTTTCCTACTTTTTATACAAATATCCGATAACATCTCTGTGTCAATCTCTGGCGACCATTCAAGATTTTCGTTGCATCTATATTTCTCCATGTCCATTCTCTGTCTAAACCCTTTCCTACAATACACCTCGCAATGTTCGCCTGGATATATCCTTCCTGAATTACAGACGCCTGGTAGGAACCAGCCGTTTCGTATTGGTGGAAGAATTGGACACGTCGCAACTGAAAATCAAATAATTTTATTGACCAGGAAAGAAACAATTTCAGTGAAGTGGTCAATTTTAATCAAGCACTCGTCAAAACACTCCCTGCGATACCTCCAACATTCGTCGGTATCCATCTAGCTTACGACAGTATTTATTAGTGGTCTCAAAACTTTTATTTCGGTCTTCCATTGTCTATACCATTCTGAGATCACGACCTTTTGATTGATGCGGTATCTTCAATAAGCCTAAATGACGGGAGACCACGGCTGCTATGAGGATCCCAAAGAAATTTTGTTAATCCGATTTTTGAACTGCCTAAGGCTAGTAGAACTGGGAAAAGCTTCCTCTTGTAGATTGTTAAACAATCTGGACACCCTCGGGACAAAGAAGCGGTCATATTGGCCAGTTCTGAATGAACGAAGTTCGACACGGTTAGGATGAGAGGCCAAAGTCAGGCGGGTCTGTCAGGCAGGCACAACGCGCGGCGGCATCATGGAAGAGAGCTCTGAGGAGCAAAACCCGTTGGTGTAGCGGTAGAAGAGAGCTAGATCCCCGAAGGCACGCCGGTGCGAAAGGGTTCCGGGACTGTCTGTTAAAGAAGAGTCGTCTATCAGTCGAACAGCCCTTCTCTGGACAGCATCGAGCATAAATGATGTAGTCGGGTTGGCAGCACCCCAAACGTGTGGCAATACTCGAGGCTAGGCCTTATCTGGGCCTTGTATAGAGTGAGAAGGTCAGCCCTAAACAAATAGCCTAGCTTTTGCCAGCAGTTGCCGCTTTGACGAGATGTGTTCGTGCCAGATCAAGTCCTCGGAGATCTGGACTACGACCAGCGGAAGTGAACGTCTTTGGCAGAACTCGGCCATCCAACGAAACGAGATGAGCGCTAGGACGTTTTTCGTTCGTCAAGGTACAGTACTGTTTTCGAAGCATTAAACTGTACAAGATTGTTGCGTCCCCAAGCAGTGATAACTTCCAGGTCTCTCGTCAGAGAGGAAGTCGTCGCTAGTCTTCTTTTTTACAGCTCAGCGGCAGAGATCGGCTTGTCACTCTAAATTCCTGCATGTAGATTGCTGTCATTAGCAAAGCTGTGGATTGGGTTGATCGTACTGGAAATGAGGTCGTTGATATGTAAGAAGAACAATGTTGGATCCGAGACCGATCCCTGGGGAACACCTCAGTTGACGTTGTCGGATAAAGAGGAGAACGCATCAAATACGACGTCTCTTGGCTTGACCTTTGCGAGCACGCTGCGTAGGGTTGTATTTCTCGAGAATCTGGTGTCGATGCCAAAGCGCATTCCTATTCTGATTGAGTCTGAGATACCATCAACGTATGGTATGATGAAGGTATGTCGTAGTTCAGACTGTGTACTTCGCCTGGAGTTCCTGTCTGCTCGTAGCACCTCTTCCGGCTTTTTGGATAGCCATTTTCAAAAGCCATTCGTAAAAGTACTGGGATATTCAGTCCTTAGTATCGAGTATTTACAAGTAGTTTGTACTCAGAACAATATTAACATCACTAGTGTATATAGCCTGGAAGGTGGAACATGCCATAAAGTACCAGAGCATGCTCTCCAGTGCCAAAAGATAGAGGCTACAGATACTGTAGTAAGCTGCGAGATGCCGACTTGTGCTAGCGGTAACACGAGGAATTTTTCTCATCAGTGAGAAAGAAGAATCCTTTTGATCTTAATTTACCTGCACAACTAGGTTCTTCTCCTTCCCACGATCCATTTTCATCACATATCCTTTGAGAGCTACCCATCAACTTGAAACCATCGCTACACCAGACGTAACATTTGGTACCTGGAGGTACTTGGCTTCCATAATCTGAAGTTTGCTCTAAACATCTGATGAAGCCGTTCGTTGGAGCAAGGGGTACGGTGCACTGTGTTGTGATAGCTGCGCTGCAGGTTCTGCCATCTTTCTGTCAAACAAGGCGGTAAAACAATAGAGAGCTTCTCAAATAGAATCCTGATAAACGAAAATGGATGGAAGTGAAAATAATAGAGCACAAGGTATTGTCACACTTAGACCATAAGAGACAGGACTAAGGAAGACAAGTCGGGTTCACGCATTCCGATCTGTTATTTAGAAACTATGGAATTTAGTTATGCGTCGTGGTTCGATGATGATAGAAATGGTTCGGAATTTTGCAAACGTACTCGTAAGTATCACTCTCATTTCTTTTAATGAAACTGTTATCACAAATATGGACTTTTCGTGGCCTTATTTATACAGGGTGTTTCAGAACTTCGGAATCAAACTTGTAGGGGTTATTCAGTGTAACAGTAGAAAACATTTGAGTATAGGGACCCGTATCCGGCGCTTGTGTGTTATCTTTAAAAACGATAACTAAGATTTTTTGTAGCTGCATTCCATATCGCCTTAGTCATGCTATCGTATTTGTGAAGTTTGCAAGAATTTAACAAAAATTAATTGTTGCTAATGGAAAACTTTACCAATCATTTAATTTTCCCATTGTTACCGTGATCAGAAGCTTCTTTATTATAGAACGTATTTGCCTAATATTGATGACATTACATTCACAACCCCCTACCTCTACAACCCCAAGTTAAAAACCCCACAAAAAAATTTCCGAAAATGATCGGGAGCCTCTGAAAGGTCGAATAACGAAATTTAAGCATTTTTTTCATATTTTTGCCTCTAGCTTCGCCATTACTAGACCGATTTTCAAAAACTACAAAGTTTTTCCATCCTTGGCATAGTGTGAAAATTTCATCCAAATCCGAGTGGTACTACTCAAGTTATAGGAATTTATATGTTTAGCGGACACACCGACAGTTTTAGCATAGGAAGTAAAAAGCATATTTTTCCAAATCGTTGATTTTACTCAAATACAAAAAAGTACCCATTGGCATATTGTTTATCATTATTGAGTGATAGTCAATCTACTCAGCTCATTTTTTTCATTCAATGCTACACTCAAAAGATACATACCTGCAGGAAGAATCCCTCATGGCAGTCACATCTATAACCCCCCCGGAAATTCATGCAAACCATCTCGCATCCTCCATTGTCTATTTCGCACTCATTTATGTCGATGCAAGTTTTATTATCAGCGCTGTCTAACCTCAATCCTTGAGGACAGGTACATTGATATGAACCAGGAAGGTTCTTGCATCCGTGAGAACAACCACCTCGGTCTATTCTGCACTCGTTTACTTCTTTGCAGACTCTTTTGTTTGGACGAAGTATGTAGCCCTAGACATAGGAATAATACTATATTACATACCTTGGTCGGAAAATTACTACTATCTTTCAGCATAGTTATATCTCTAGATCCTGGCATTTTTTTATTGTTTCTAATTCTTTGCGTCAAGCATTTGCGTAGCGTTTACAACATGTTTGTACGGAGTTGTGCATTTGCATAGCATAGAGGTACTACATTCAATCATAATATTTTACTCTTATTTTATGCATTTTCTATTATTTTTTAATCGCAAGCGAGTGAATCCGACACAAGAACTATCTCGGATGTTAAAAAATTAGTCACTACTTAACACGTAAATCCCTTGCATTTTCTATTTAAAATTATTTTCCAGCTTACCTCAGGACAGGAACACTGTCGTTTGCCGTCTTTCAATGTGCAAAAGTGAGAGCATCCACCGTTGTTTTTAGAGCAAGGATCCTCATCTAAGCACTGCTTGCCGAAGAGCTTATAGCCTGGTGGGCAAGTACATTGAGCTTGGCCTTTGGAGTTAATACAACCATGGGAACAACCGCCATTGCTTATCAAACATTGGTCTTCGTCAATGCATCTGCAATGATAATTCTGGGTTTAGGAAGTGACAAAGCGAGTTATCATTGATATCTTAAAGCACGCTGTGTTGAAAAGACAAATTTTAATAGCTGTCCATTTTAAAATAAGGAAGCATTAAAATAGGTGTCTTGCTATTTTGTAAGATCCCTTGACTACTTTTCCAGCTACGAAAGTGTTGCTTTGCCAGAGGTGGATTTTTTTAATCAGATCGCATTTTTGACTTACCACCTCCAATCGTGTCTGATGGGCTATGGTTTCTGGATTAATCTTGATTTGTCAATCTTTGTCATTTTTATGTTTTTTTTGCGAATAAAGCGCGAGCCTGCTACAATGTTATCATTAGGTTTAGAGATGTTATTTACTACAAGCAAGATTTACTGCTTTTGTTTATGATTCAGTATAATCATCTGGTTGCCTTCGTTGTCTATTCGCAGACAGAACTTAGCAACTTTTTTGATATGCAATTGATGTTCTAGAAACTAAATGAAAAAGGAGGGCCACCACGTGTTCATAAAACGACTTTTGCTATCTGGTTATTTCCTCAATGCACTGAATCTACTCTAATCAAGCAAGAGGATGATGGGCAAAGAGGACAGTGGATTTCCTGCAGGGTGTAAAACTATAACTAACTATATAGCATATACCCTCATAAAAATAATTTTCCTGTGTATTTTGTGGCCGTAGCCAAGTAATTAATGGTCCTAGAATCTTGAGAAAAATACCTGGTCCCTCTCAGGAAGTGAATTCTTGAAAATATGCAACTTAAGTAGCTAGTAGGTAGCAGGCGTAGTTCTATCATTATTCGAGGAATTGGGTTTTTCAAAGTTTCTTTGATTGGAAAATTACTCTCCAGACCGTTCTCTTGAAAAAAAGCAGAAGAAAAAGTGCGAGTCTCACGGAGGTGAATCAGTCACATCCCTAAAGATAATCACCTATTGTAGAAACACATTATTTTGTTGAAGTGGTTGATAACTAATTTGATAAGCATCAAAGGCTATCAGAAAAAATGGCATCAAGTAGGTTGACACGCCGTCCTCATTTATAAAGGATTAAGGAACATGTCAAACTGAAAAATTAAACGGATCACGTCAGTCAGACACGACGATACAATCATTTCATAGACATTATTTCCCTGTCGTACCGGTAGTACCGTCCATTTGGCAACGTCGCCCCTCCCCATACCTGAGCTTATGATATGTTAGAAGCAGCAGCAGTGTTACCAGGTCTACCGATTTTTCGGTAGGTCTAGCGATTTTGGTCCTGGTCTACCGAACTACCGATTTTAAAGCAAAATCTACTGAAAAGTGGACTTTTCTTTCAATTGAATAATTTTTGTTCGCTATATAAGAGAAATATTTCTGATTCATAGCGATAAAAATAATGACAAAGGTACTATTATTATTCCTACTAGACCAGATATATTTTTATTCTCTTTGCCTGACATTGGTGTGCCACATACGCTGATCCTTCGCATCTGGGGAATCACCGGAAGATACTCGATGATTTGGCTACATCGCCTAGGCCTAGCGGCTCGTGACAAGTCCATGCCTGTATTGTACGATTTGTATGATTTCGCGTACTTAGCAATTCCGAATTCGGTCAGTATTAGTATTGCCTGTCTTGCAGTCATTTTTTTCTTTCGCGTGCGTGTGCCCAACATTATAAGGAAGACTGGGAAGAATTGCCAGATTTCCAAGGCTTGCTTAAAAAAGTAATAAAGTGCGCGATTATGCGAAATGCATAGCCTGTGATAAAGATATTATCAAAAGTGGAAGAGATGCACTTATAAAACAGGCAAATGGGTAATTTCATAAAAAACTGCAAACTATAGCAAAACAGCCAAAACTGTTGTTATTTGCAGTTGCAGCTGCATCAAAGAAATTAGAAAATGATATTAAAGAAGGTGAAATTAATTAATCGATTTGAGAAGATTTGAGATTATATAGATTATTTTATTATTTCCAGGAGAAATTCGTTTGAGCGCATTTTTGGCCGAGCATAATTTGCCATTCTTGCTGATGGACCATTTGGCAAAGCAAAATTAGTAGATAATATGACTGATAAAAACTTATAAATGAATCGGAAGAATAATTATTCAATATAGCTTACACATTTTTTATTTTATACACTTTTTCTGTTTTTTATTAAGAATATTTTATTTTTAGTTAGCTAAAGTGAGATATAAACTGTTTATTTTTGTTTTGTCTTTCTGTTTTACAGTATATTTTGAGATAAATAAAATTGTTTTAAGTAAATGCATTCATTTACTCTTCGGTATTCAATCTAACGAAAAACTGCCGAAAAAATCCATACAATTCTACCGAAATATCGTCGACTCCACCTGGCAACACTGCGCAGCAGCGCGCAGCATAGCTCCGCTGCAGTATTCGCAGGATACTCAACGATATTGGCACGCCCGCCGATTAACCAAGCAGAGACGCGTATCGTAAGCTTTTCTCTTCAAGAGGGAAATTATGAAGTGTCAAATAAGTATAAAAGACGCATAGAATTATCTGTTACAAGACTACCTTGTCGGTGGCATAGGAAGCAAGAGCGTGGAAAAACCTACTTTCTATTGGTTATCCGGTATTCTACATTCTCGTTTTCAAGAAACTCCTGGCAATCGAAAAATCAAGTCAGTGAGAGCTTCGTACTTCATTTTCATCTGCCGTCTATTTTCCTTAGTCTACATTACGTTTAGAATCTTTTTTCCACTAACCTAGATCCAAAAAGCCTGAGCCCTGCTGGACAAGTACACTTGGCCTCTCCTCTAACAGTTATGCATCCATGCGAGCAGCCTCCATTGGCTACCATACAAGGATCCTCACCAACACATCTCGTTCCAAACAGCTTGTATCCCTGAGGACATGTACACTTTGCCTGACCCCGGTTATTGACGCACCCATGAGAACATCCCCCGTTGTTCAGAAGGCATGGATTGATCTTGAAGCAAGTCTTGTTGATTAGTTCGTACCCAACTGGACATTTGCAAATAGCTACTCCGTCTTTATTTATACAAGTGTGTGAGCAGCCTCCGTTCTTCTCTACACAAGGATCTAACTTCAAGCAGGTTTTGTCTTCTAGTTTAAAACCTTCTGGGCAGAGACAAGTGACAGTTGTTCCATCTGAGGTACATTCGTGGGAGCAGCCTCCGTTGTTGATGAAACAGGGGTTCACCTAAAAATATAATCGATCCAAAATAGCTTAGTATATGTGCAGTTTGTTCAATAAACATAGTCTAAAAATTAAAAATTTACGCACTGGATTACTCTATGAATATTTTTCATAATGATTTTCGAAAAGCTGCGAAATTGCGATCCTTTAAAATATACAAATGTAGCATAAATAAGAAATAAGATAAGTCTGCAGATTTGACCCTGAATTTCCTGACTAAAAACCGAGATTCCGCAGGTGGCACCCATGGGCATTTCTCGGCCTCATGAGCTGTCGATATGTCCGAGATATGCAAAATCAGGAGTCAAACTTCAAGACTGAGATTTCTTGGGTCATTCTATTAAGAAAAGTTTATTGCTTTGTTTCCAACAAATAGGGTGTCACAAGTATTTTGATGCGTTTTTCGAAAGAATCGGGAACACCATTCAGCCAATTTTCATTTGATGAAAACCAGTACAAGCGTCTCGCTGGATAATTAATTAAAATCATTATGAAAGTCAATTAATCAAGATAACAGATGGGTATCTCGATCTTAGGTCTGTTATATTCTTCCTCTAGGGATTAGGTTTTACTGGGGCTTTTTTATTATTTAATTTAATTCAATTGTACAGCGTTGATTTAGTGCTAGCGAGAGTTCTAAAAAATTCCAACAAAAGCAGCTGAAATGTTATCATTTTTTAGAGAAGTCAGTATTTCCGATAACCGTTAAATAAATTTTGACAGATACTTTATTAACAGGGTATGTCAAATTATATCATTGCTTTTTAATACGCTATTTGGTAATTTACAGGATATAATAATAATAATAGACGTCTTTATTTATCCAAAATTACATTGTAGTATAGCCAAATGTTTATATATATATATATATATATATAGATAGAATCATTTTTTCACTAGGATATGGCGCACAATCCCACACAACACGCTTTGCAGCAACAAAATACGAGGATTCATGGATATATTAACTTTCGAGCTAAATATTTCAATTTCTGATTAGAGAATTGTACTACAGTTCTGTAGTCACGTATCTATGGAGCTCAAGTTTCATACGATCATTTTTTGTAATCAACAAACGATAGATATTGCTCAACAGAACAGAGCTCCAGTTGCAAGACAACGTAGACAAGAAATTTAAAATACCAAATATGTATCTAGCAAAATTAAGCAATGAAATGAAAAAGATACTATATTCGAGTCAGCCAGAGACGTATGCCGTGTGTCAACGATAAACAAAAATATAAAATAAACTGCTTGGTGGACGCCCGAAATTAAACAGCACGTGAAAGAAAAGAAAAAGTAATGGAAGATTTATCCACATAGAAAAACAACAGAAGCATACGATGAATATAAGATGCACAGGACTAACATGAAAAAGTTGATAATAGAAGCACAGAGGAAGTGCTGGGAGGATTTTGGAAGGGAGATGGAGCAGAATAGCAACGGGAACAAAAAAACTGTTCTACAGTGCTCTCAAGAAGGATGGAATTACACTAACGGAAGAAAAATACATAAAAGAAAGATGGAAGGAATACTTTTACCAGTTACTAACTAACACTAATGATGAACCATCGAATGAACAATCCCAGTATCCACTACATTCAGGAACAGACTTAGAGTCGATAGAAATGGAGGAACTAGTAGGAGCAGTCAAAAACATGAAAATGGGCAAAGCAGCAGGGCATGATAATGTCAAGCCAGAGATGATTAAAACAATGGTACCAAGATGCATGTAACACTATTACTTTTAGAGCTATGGGATATGGGATTCAGGAGTCGTACCCAAAGACTCGGAAGTTGGAATCGTGGTGCCGATTTTCAAAAAAGGGGACCCAAGGGAATGTACAAATTTTAGAGGAGTCACGCATCGTAGCCAAGTTGTTTGAAAGGATTTTGGAAAACAAACTGACCAAGAAAATGAAACAAGGGATGATAGATTCACAAAGCGGCTTCCGGAAAGGATATAGCACCCAGGACCACATCTTTACCATCAAAGAAGTGATTGCAAAGACTCTGGATCAAAACAGAGAGGCATACGTCGCTTTTCTGGACTTAGAGAAGGCCTTTGATAGGATAGACAGAAATAGAATTTGGGCCATACTACAAAGAAAAGTGGGAATAAAGCTAATTCAAGGTATCAGAAGCCTTTATGCGGTAAACCGAAATTATGTCCACGTGGGTGGATTGGATACGGATGAATTCACAACGGACCAAGGACTAAGTCAGGGCAGTGTACTGAGCCCGATACCTTTCACCTTAGTTATGGATGAAATAATGTTGGAAACAAGACACGACACCAAAAAACTATTAATAGGATATAAAAACCTACAACCGGTAACAATAACCGAGTGCGCATTTGCAGACGATCTTGCCATATTTGCTGATTGTGAAAGAAATCTACAAACAAATCTAACCATATAAGACCAAGCTCTTACGTCCAGGAACATGAAAATAAACACAGATAAGAGTAAAATAATGGCAATAGCCAGACATGAAAACAATGCCGCCCTACTAGTAGGAGAACATAGATTAGAATGCGTAAGTGAATTCAAATATCTAGGAACCAAAGTAGACTCTAAAGGAAGACAGGAAAGTGATCTAAATGAAAGAATGAATGCTGCTGCGAAGCTGTACTATGCTCTAAATATAACATGCCTAGCCAAAAAGGAACTATCACTCGATACCAAGCTAAAGATATATAAAACAGTTTTCTTACCTGTTCTTTTATGGAGTTCAGAATTGTGGGTGCTGACCAAGAAAATGAAACAAAGACTGCAAACGCTGGAGATGAAATTCTTGAGGAGGATCAGAGGCGTCACGAGAGTAGACAAAATAAGAAACGAACAAATAAAACAGGATCTGGGAGTAGAAGCAGTAACAACGGAGATCGAAAAAATGACTTTTTGAGATGGTTTGGACACATAAACTGGATGAAGGACACTAGGCAAGTGAAAAGAATATGGCAGGCAAGGACGGTATAAAGTCGATTGAGAGGAAGACCCCGTGGGACAAAGATATGGAAGAAACATTAAAAAGTAGAGGAATTACACCAGCAGAAGCTAGAATACTTGCAAAAGACAGAAGACAGTGCCGAAACATTGTGTATAATTATTAACTGTAAAGTACTACACACACCTACTTCAAATATGGTACTAGAAGGGTTTTAGACAATATATATGTCTATATATATGAAAAAGAAAACTTAAAACCCAAAGTTCACAATTTTGGCATTTTTGTCCAAAGCTCACCATTTTCGAATATTTAAATTAGCATTTTCATACTTAAACTAAAGACAACATTCATATCAAACCTGTGATTCTAAGCTTTGAATGTAGATTGTGTGATTTTATCTCTATATGTCGAGTGGAAGAGCACCTTGTGGTGAACTCCTCCATTTTTGGGCATCTGTTTTATTCACCATTGTGTTGTATGTATATCGCATTTGTAACCTTTAACGTCCAAACTAAAGGCAGTAAAGAAAGTAACAAGGAAATCTATCAAATTTCTTGACTCCATGTAGGGATTACCTCAGCAACCAATCTGTCGATCTCACTTGGCAAAAACATAACACACAATATATGATCTTGAAAACGTAAAAATTTTACGAAATTCTATGAATTATAATAAAAAATACGTACTTCAAGTGTAACGTATGACCTAAAATTTTTGGCACAAAATATTTATCGGATTTTTCCTAATTAAGAAATTTATTTAAACGCTAGCTAGTTATCATAAATCACAGCTCAATACTTAACTAAACTATACTATCGAATTATGTGGAGTGGCCCATTCTGTTCTACGAGACGCAACTTTCATCGAATGTCGTCTCTGATGAGGGCCTGGACTGAATTCAGATCAAATTCTCTCAGTTTTTCGTAAATTCGCCGTCTCAATTGTTCTTTATCTTCGGCTTCCCAGCCTCCAAGATAAACCTTCCTAAACAGTAAAACCCAAAAAGCCTCTACTGGGCGAGTCTGCGGCAAGTTTGGGGGATTATCGTTTTTGAGAACAAAAGGTGTGTTGTGCTGTCAAAGCCCAGTTTTGGGTATCTCTTGAGTAATGGCATGATGCTAGGTCTGGCCAAAACATGATATGGCCATTAGCATGATGTTGGTGGACAAACGGGAGCAATTTGGAAATGCAGTTTTCAATATGGCTCTGACTATTCAAAGCTTCACCACAAAAGGTTGGGATACACCATTGTTAGAAATTGCGCACCAGACACGGATTTAATCTGCAAATTTCACTTAACATTGTCAGGACATTCCTCTACGTTGTCCGTATAAAATCCGTTGTTTTCCTTCATTTCAGAACTACGCATCATCTGAAATAATGATTTCTCCATTGGCAAAGTGTACTCGTCTCAGTTGACGACAGCATCTTAGTATACGAAGGAGTTGCGCTTGAAAGTATTTGGGCCACCAAAGTCTTTTTCAATATTTAAGACCATTCCTCCTCACTTCCAACGATACCGTACTCTTAGAAGGTCTGTATTGACGAGCCAGTCTCCTTGTTGACATTCCAACCTGATGTTTTGCTCTTCTCGCCAATCTCTCTGACCTCTGTGCAGGAAGTACGTAGTTTTACATTTTTTGGGAGATTGAGACATGGTTTTCCCTGCTCGCACTCCGCTGTTGTTCGATAAATGGTTCTGCGTGAAATGTTTTGATTCTAGAATATTCGACAGATTTCAGCTTTCGGTACCCGCCAAACCAAGTTGTACTTTTTCTTATTTCTCATTTTTACGACATCTTAAAGCGAAAACTTCAAAATGAATAAATGTAAACTGTCAGTAAAGTAATTAAAGAAACTTTTGTTTCCAAAGGCAACTTGATATTATTTTGTGTTTGTTAAAATTAAAGCCAATGAATTTTGTGCCAAAACTTTTGGGACATACGTTACCAGCAAACTCTCACCTGAACGCATATCGTCTTATTTATAAGATTGTGATGATCTGGACATGAACATTCCGGCTCATTGTCAATGTTCGTACAAACGTGAGAACATCCGCCATTATCCACAAAACAAGGATCATAAGGAATGCAACTCCTGTCGCCTTCCAAAACATAATTGTCAGGACAAGAACACTTCACTGCGCCATAAATGTTTTCGCAAATATCTGAGCATCCACCATTTTCCACTGAGCAAGGGTTGAACTCATCGCAATGAGTGTCATTCATGAGTCTGTACCCTTGAGGGCAGGAACAAAGATGTTCTTTGGTGGAGTCACAGATATGTGAGCAGTGACCGTTGTTTAGTATGCAAGGGTCGTTTGGAACGCAAGATTTTTCGTTCGCTGATAGTGTGAAGTTTGTAGGACAAAGGCACCTAGAAAATAAAAATGATAAGCTAACATGCAGTTAATGTTAACAGAAGATGGCAGTCATACGCTACAGGGTGTTACAGAATTTTAGCAAGGAAATTGTATTGTAGATTCAGTACGTAAAAATATGAAAAAATAGTTATTTATTATACGAGAGAAAAAAGTACTAGATTTTACCTTGAGGTTGTTGAGTTAAAATCTAGTATTTTTCCAGAGTATAATACACAATTTTTTTCTGTGACGGAAAAACGATTCAATATTAAAAAATTAAATTATTACAATCTTTAAGTCTTAAAATCATTGATGTGAAATTTGAATTTTGATATTAATAGGTTGTTTAGAAGTACTCATTTTTTTCCCGGGGAAAAAGTAATTTCACAGGGGTGGTACCTCCGCATTCGATAGTCAAAGACGGTCTACCACGTACGGTTAATCACAATATCCTTAGCCAAGAAAAAAATCCTCTTTGAAGGGGATTCGAACTCGCGCAGCTCACAGTGACTGATTAGTAGACATGTAGCGTCTGACTACATATTTAGTACTTAGTTGCACCTAGTTGCCATGAGCTACTGCCATGTGGCTTAGTCTGCTATATGTTATGGAATGGAAAACTTTGAAAATTATGAATACCTTGAGATTTGTACTGGTAGAAAGACATATTTAGCAAGTTTGGCTACATAAACAGAATACATAATTATAAACAGCCATGTGATGCACAAGCTGAGCAATCTATAATTGTAGATTTAACAAGTGATTAATCTATTCGACTTTGAATTTTGTCAAAGTATTCTTGTCCTTTATCTCTGTATTCATATAGTAAGGCCTCGAATACTGCTCATGTTTGGCGGTAATGCCACCGCGACTACATTGTCCATACTCAATGCTGTTCAGAGAAGAACGGTCCGACTGACCGATGAGACTTCTCTGACGGACAGTCTTTAGACCCTTTGGCACCGACGGGCGGTCGACAATCTAGCTCTCTTCAACCGTTATGCCAACGGGCTTTGCTCCTCAGAGCTCTCCTCCATGATGCCGGTTCGCGTTAAGCCTGCCAGACGGTTCCATCAGGCGTCTACTTCCCATCAACTCTGTTGAAATTCGTACACTCAGCAGTTGTTCTAGAACTGGCTGGTACAACCCCTCCCACACAACGCCCTTTTCAGTACGAAAAGGAATATGTTCAGCTCAAACTAAACCCTCAGAGAAAAAAGTCAGTCAAACAGGTCCATACAATTAGTCCATAGACACATTTGACATTCTTTCCCTGCCCTAGAGTCAGTACATCTGGAAACGTCGCCTCTCCCGATACCTAACTCGGGCAGACGTGGCAACGTGGTAGCGCGGTCAGAGCATAGAGAAACACTATGCTGTTGCGCGACAGAAATACATGGATTCCATACCAGAACAGTCATCACAGTAAGTGCGCCAGCAGCAGCCGCGGCCGATAGATACGCGATCCGTCTACCGAGAATATTTTTGTATTCAAGGCAGATAAATCTATGTAAAATATATCTGACAGGTGCGTAGAATTTCCAATGTTGGGAGAGTATAATAAATGTGCCAGCATAAAAAAAATTTGATAAACCCTCCCCACCCCCTCATAACCCCCACCCCTAGTTTTTTACACCTAACCTTTTTCTTAAAAAATAATCAGGATTTTCAAAAACTACAAAGCTTTTGAGTCCCTGGCAGAGTAGTAACATTGTGTAAAGATTTCATCCAAAACCGTGCGATACTTCTCCAGTTATGGGCGGTTAGATAGACAGACAGATAGACAGAACAAGCAACTTTCATATTCTGAGGCACGTAGCGACGATATCAATAGTAGTCTTCTGAAGCGATGTATGTAGAGAATTATCTTCAATACTAAAAATTTACGTTGATTTGATTTTAATTTAAGCATATTTATTGATCAAATAAATTTTTTGAAATAACTACATAGTTGTAATGTAACAAACACTCGGACATGAGCGGTCAGGGCTGGTTTATTACCATTTTCAAGGGAAGAAATTTGCTAACTTCCGTTCACCGTGGTTTCTTTCTTCAATGTTCTAATATTATGCCGATTACAGAGTGCGGCTCCATAATAAGATATACCTAACATCAGCCATTTCTCACTCGTATCGAAATGCTTGGAAATTATAACGCGCAGTTCTCAAACTGGTATAAGACTATGCAATATGTACAATTTTAAATAGCATCCATTGTTTGACTAGGACTAGAGATATAATGGATATGATATTTCTAAAATGGTGCATCTATCCGGTAAAGTCCAAGAGGCAATTTTCGAGTAGGATCAGTTTGGATTTTAGATGTAGATACTATTTTTTTGTAAAAACTAGTAGCATACCGCATAATTCACTAAACATGTTTTCAAAACAATTTCATACACATTATGATGTGACCTCTGATTAACACTCGTCTCAATATCTCTATCCGTTTTTGAGGAAATTTATTATGGCAATAAAGTATATTATCCCTCGAAAACTAGGTTAGTCGGTAGATATGCGACCTCAGGGTGAGGTCCTTTGTACCTTGGTCTTTGGATGCAAAGTGGTTGCAGTTTGGGCGCCACCTAGTTTGAAAAACTAGAAAATGAAATAACAAGTAACAAGGCTGAAGACACAAACTCACAAAGCACACAGACATTTATTGAACAAAAAGATAAAAAAAAATTGAAGTCCTGGAGGATGGGCTAAGCAAATTATTTTGCATTACCCTCCTAGCTAAATGGTTTCCGGTAAATATTAAAATAAAAAGCAAAACCACCTATGCAGGTGCTTGGCTATTAACGGTAGGCAACCGAGAGCAGGAAATCCCAGATGTAACCTGAAGGTAGAAGATAGTACTACTTAAATTGAGTGTAATGTCGCTGGCTAGGAGGGTGAGAAAAAGGCTCCGAAAAAAAAACACCAAGATGGGCCGATTACTAATAAAAACCCCACCATCCTGTAATCCGCGACTCAGCGTGTAAAACTATTTCACAAAATCGGGTAGTGGGCCGCGGAATTCCTACACCAGAGCACTGGAAATAGCACCAAGTCACCTTCAGCTCTCTTGAACGAGATGGAGAGTAGCGTACGATTTCCTACCACAAAATTATTAGACCATGAGAAGAGTTTTATTATTAAAAATAAAGTTCGATATTTTCAAGAACGGCTGCAAAATTATTATTCTAAATAAGAAAAACTTTGCAATAATTTACTTTATCAAGATGTAGTTAATTTTTAGTCCACCATAAAAAGAAACTGCAACAAATATTTCCGGATGTACATTTTTTACGTTTTTCATGGTTTAACATGCTCACTTAAATTTTCGTCCCAGCATTCTGTAACATCCCGTATGCTTGAAAAATGAATACCTGGCATCGCCATTCTGATCAGAGAAGCAATCGTGGGAGCATCCACCGTTCCCAATCAGACACGGATCGATCCTGTAGCAAGTTTTTCCTTCCAAATAAAATTTCTCGGGACAACTGCACTTGGCAACATCATTGACGAACTCGCAAATATCTGAACACCCTCCGTTGTCAATCAAGCAGGGATTGTTTTCAAAACAGTGGGTATGATTATGTAATTGCTGGTTTTCTGGACAGGAACAACTTTGAGTGTGATTTTCAAACTTGCAAATGTGAGAGCAACCTCCGTTATTGAACTCGCAGGGATTATTTTCGACACAAAGAGTATCGTTGATCAGGGTATGAAGCTCGGGACACATACAGTTAACATGGCCCTCGACAAACTCACAAAAGTGGGAACAGTTACCATTGTTGATGGTACAAGGATTTATTTGTACGCAAGTGGTTTCATTTTGTAGCTCATAACCTGCTGGGCATTCACACCTTACCACTCCATTTGCGTTGAGACACACATGGGAACAATGATTCTGGCTACAAGGGTCAAACCTTCGACATTGCTTGCCTTCAAGGACATGGTTTTCTGGACATTTACACACTGCTGTTCCGTTCTCGCTCACACAAAAATCTGAGCATCCTCCATTATCCTCCGTGCAAGGATCTAACGTCTTACATGTCACATGATCCTTGTCCAAGACATATCCGTTTTCGCAGGTGCAATGGTATGAACCTTGTGTATTGACGCAGGTGTGTGAGCAATTACCATTCTTGACTAAGCATTCATCGACATCTGCACAAGTTGCGTCATCGGACTTAAGAGTGTATCCAGGGTGGCAACCACATTCGTATCCTCCATCATAGTTTATACAAATTTGGTTACATTCGTCCAAATCCAGACCTTCATCACACTCGTTGATATCCACGCAAGTGTTGTTGATAAATTCATAGCCTTCTCGACATACGCATTTGTAACTCCCTGGAGTGTTCAGACAAGCGTGTGGACATGGATTACTTTTGCATTCGTCTAAGTCAATACAGGCGTTGTTAATATATTCATATCCACTATGACAGGTGCACTTGTAGCTACCAAGAGTGTTTTCGCACGTTTGAGGACAGATGTTCTTGGTTTTGCATTCGTCTAAGTCAACGCAGGCATTGTTGATGAGTTCGTAACCTGGCTGACAGTTACATCTGTAGCTACCTGAAAAAACAGAATCAAGCAACGTTCATTTTCTAAGAGTATAGCGAAATTAAAGTGAAGAAATTGCGATGAAGGCTACATATTCAGAGTCTTAAAAAAATAACTGACCAAACTTCAAAAGAAAGAAAAGTCCTTGTAATGTTTCGTTTTCAAAATGCAGGTTGTCAAACTGTTTTTGATAATTTTTTTGGGAAAACCAAATAACCTTTTAGGTGGTTTTATTAGGATTTGTTGAAATTTAGCAGATACATATCGCTAGCAATTTAACCAAAATCAGTTAAGAAAAATTCTTAATACCACAATTTATTATAGCCAAATACGAGTAGATCTAATTGCCTTCAGGGGTTGGACTTTTATTGATGCGTTTTCCTCATTTGACTTAATTTACATTTCGAAAATCCAGTAAATTTTAACAAAAACGGGTGAAGAAACGAAAAATCGAAACTAAAAAAATTCCGTCCCACAAGGAACCACCCGTTATAGTTCCACCAGATAAAATTGGATCTACAATATCAAGATCAAAAAATATTTCTATTGGTATACCACAAAGTAGTAAACTAGGTCTACTACTATCTATTTTATACATTAATGACATTTGAAATATTTTTGATTATTGTAAAATTCGGATATTTGCAGATGATACATTAATATGCATATCAGATGAAAATATAGATACTGCTTTAGAAGTGCTAAGTTCTGACTTGGCAAAAATCATAAATTGGTTAAATGTAATTAAACTGAAATTGAATACTTCTAAAACAAAATGTATGCTAATAGAGAAATACCTAAATGGAAATACTATCACAATTAGGATAAATGGTGAAATAATTGAAAATGATAGTAAAAAAATGTCATAAAAACAAATTTTATAGGGCTTCTCATAGTCTTGGTACATATTCCAAGAAAATAGTTTATAATACAATTACTCTACCGCATTTACTATATTGTTCAACTATCTTGTGTAACTGCCAATGAAGCTGTATACTCAAAATTACAAGTGATGCATAATAAAGGTAAGAAAATAATATTGATAAAAATAAGTACACCAAAATAAAATCTATTTTACAAGAATTGCAGTTTTTGTATATACAAAATTTATATCATATTTGGCTCTTATTTTTATATTTAAAATAAAAAATCAACTTTTGCTACAACAGATAGAATTGAATAATCATTACCACAATTATTATACAAGAGGAAATATAGATTTTCATTTACAAAATTGCAATAGTAATATAACTAGCAAATCAATATTTCAGAATGGATTACTTGAATTTAATAAACTAAATAATGATATAAAGTCTACTTGTAATTTAAAGATCTTTAAAAGAAAATTAAGTTTCATGAACAGTAAAAATTCTTAGAGACCCAAATTTTGTTTTTTTCTAAATATCTGTATGTTATGTAATTGTTTAGTTTTTTAGAAGAATGTAATTGTGGCAATCATGCTAAATAAATCTTAAACAAAGAAACTTATTGACAAGCTGTGTGTACACCAGTATGTCCGAAGTCAGTAATGTTAAAATGTAAGCTCTCTAGTACAGTGGTAGACCTCTTAGCGATTTCTTGAATTATATTCTGCTTTAAAGTTCTAACCCTCTAAACCCTCTAAAGACACCACTTAGTAGACAAAAGCTTAATAAGTAATAACCATTTAGGCCACCTTAAAGCTTAAATCGGAAATATCCACTTACCTAAAACATTGATACAAATACCGCTACAATTATGGTTGCCTTTACTACATTCATCAATGTCAACGCATTTTTTGCCATTAATTAATTCAAATCCAGCCTCACATCCACATTTATAAGATCCCATCGTGTTTTGACAAAGATGTGAACAATCATTGCTCAAAGCACACTCGTCCACGTCTTCGCAAGTCCGATTATCTGAACCAAGCACGAACCCTGGGAAACAGGTGCATTGTAAAGCACCATCAATACTTGTTTGACCTAAAAGGATGTCGAGGACCTTAAGATATAGTGAAAATTGAATAAGATCACCCAAAAGCCGTATAGTAGTTTATTTTTTATTTTACCTTGAGAACAAGTTGTGTTTACACATTTGTTAGCCTGGAGAGTCAAACCTTCAGGACAACTGCAAAGGTAGGATCCAACTGTATTGGTGCAGGAATGTGAACATGGTCTTATGAGACACTCATCTATATCTTGACATGTATTAGGGTCTTCTTGAGATAGCTTAAATCCTGCTGGGCAACTACAGATGTAGCTCCCAACTGTGTTTGTGCATACGTGAGAGCAAGGGTTCGTATCGGGAATGCATTCGTCAATATCTGAAACATTTCAAATTTTTCTAAAAGCTCACATCGTGTAAGATTCATTATTTTTCATGCTTCTTTTTAGTTTCTCGATTTTTTAAATTGAGAATATTTCAAGCTCTTGAACATCTCTTAAGCTCAAAAAAATATTATCGTATGGGCAATATTTGCGTAGGTTCCAAACATACAACAATAGGCATCCACCTCATATATACAGACAAACATATGCCTTTCCTAACCTACCTGTACAATTTCCTGCACCATCCAATACGTAACCCTCAGTACATTTTCTCACCTCTTCTCCAGTTGGCATAGATTCCTCATTTTTGGAATCTTCATAGTCTTCTTCAGAAGTACTATCTTGTTTCTTTATTGTTTCAGGAGAAGTCGGTGCTACAGTTGTTGATGTTGCCGCTTTTCGTCTTTCTACTTCTTCAATTTTTCGATCTACCTCCGCCTTAATCCTTTCTCTATCGGACAAATTTGAGTTATCTTCAATCTCTGTCTGGTTTAAACCATCTGGTTTCAATTTTCGCTCAATTTCTTCTTTTATTCTTTCTCTATCGGTCATATCTGGATCTTCTTTCCTTTCTATCCCGTTTTCAGTTTCTTCTCCTTCAGGATTTAGTCTACGTTCAATCTCAGCCTTGATTCTTCGTCTTTCTGCCTCAGCTGAATCGTCAGTCTTCCTGGCTTCATCTGTTGATTTGGAATCGGGTACTACAGGTTTCTCACCTTCTTTCGCCTCTTCAGGTCTACCCGTCTTCGTTTCTTCATCATATTCTTCATCGTAATTTTCATCATACTCATCTGGCTTTGGAATCTCTATGGGCTCAGTCTTATTTGCCTCTTTCGCTATCGAATTGAACAACTCACCAGGATCTAGCCTTTCGCTAGGCGTTTCTTTGCCTAAGCTAGGGATTTTCTCAATTGGTGGTATCACAGTGCTCCTAGCAGCCTTGTCATACTCTTCAATAACGTTCACAGTTACTTCTTCAACTCCTTCTTCAGTTTCATCAGTCTCCCGATCTGCAAAGTCATCTTCGTCATCATAGTCACCTTCATTATACTCTTCATTTTCCTCGTTTTCCTTACGTTGTTCCCCTTCTTCCTTTGTACTATCAGGAGCCTCAGTAGTTGTAGTAGTAGTCGTCGTAACGTTAATAACAGTTTCCTTAATATCTTGATCTTGCTTGATCCCTTGTTCATCTTCATCCTCTTCAGGTTCCTCATCATCTCTATCCTCATTCCTTTTCCTTCCGCGTTCTCTATCTTCCCGTCTTTCTTCTTTATAATCCTCATCGTAATCATCATCGTAGTCTTCTTCATCATATTCCTCTCCAATATCCTCTTCTTCTTCTGGTAATGTTTCATTGTCTTGGATTGGTTGGTCTGATGCAAGCTCTTCTTCACAATAATATGAGCCTGCTACGTTTATGCAATCGTATTCGCAAGTTGATTTGATTTTCGGATCTTCACATTCATCTATATCTGAAAATAGATACATAGACCAAATAAATTTGTGCTTGGCGAGAAAGTTTTGACGTAACGCAAAAGAATGTGTAACATCAAAACTCTCGCAACTTTCTTGGTGAAAGCACAATTTGAGTGGAGTGACTAAGCTGACATGTGAGTTGATACTTTCCAATGATATTGTGCAGAACTACTATGCAAGGTGTTTCAAATTCGTCCCTCACCATTAAGATTCCGGAAAGTGTAAGAGATACGAAGCCGCTCAAACGGAGGCAAAGTTGCGTATTCAGATAATAAACGAAATGCCGCTTAGAAAGCTTGAAATTCGAAGTACTTCCGGAGAAAGACGGAAAAAAACGAATTTTTCAAAAACCGTTTTAATTTTTTCCCAACTTTATTCGTAGTGGGATTTCAAAATAAATTGCATATTGACATTACCACTTTTTATCTTCTACAAGAAGGTGTAATTAGAATTTCAATATGACGTTTCGTCTCTTGTCCTCCAGCTTCAACTTTATTTCAGCAGATTTATCTCAAAATCACTTTTATTTATTCCTGACTTTATTTGAGATAGATTTTCAACAAAAATTGCATATTAGCCTTGTGACTTATTTTCCCCTACAAGATGGCGTAGTCAAATTTTCAATGCGAAATTTCTTCTATCGACTTCCATCACCAACTTTGTTTTTTCACATGGACGCTATATTTTAATTTTGTACATTTAAATGGAATTTTCAGTCCTTAATTCAGTAGTGTATTCCCCTGGTGGCCAAGAATTTGTTGTTCGATAAAAATTATAAGGAAATAAAAAGGTATGACAAAATAAAAATTGTATTGATGGTAATAACAATAATAATCATAAGTAACCAGAGATAAATCATAGCAGAAGTTTAAAATGTTGTCCGTTATTTTGTAGGCAAAGCCTGACTGTTCTCTGTACATTGTTATCGATTTATTTATCTTCTTATCAGTCTTCAAAACTGGATTGATCTTCAATTTGAGGTCTGGTCTGGTGAAAGCATAACACACTATACATTTTTGAAATCAGAATTAAAAACTCTATTCATGTGAGCAAAGATCAAATATGGCGTCCATAAGAAAAAATAAAGATGATGCTGGCGGACAAGAGATGAAACGTCCTATTGTAATTCTAATTATGTCATTTCATAGGGAAAAACAGTGACAATGTTAATATGCAATTTATTTTGCAGTCCCACTACAAATAAAGTCAGGAAAAAAAGATGATTTGATTCTTTCGATCTACTCGGAAGTACTCTGAATTTCTAAACTTTCTAAGCGCCATTTTGTTGACTAAATAAATACGCAATTTTGCCCACAACTTCGTATCTCTAACAGTGTCCGAGATCGCAATAGTGATGGTCGAATTTGAATTACCCTGTATTTGTAAGACTTTTGTCATGCTTAGTACATTGAAAGACTCTTATTTTCACCTATTGAAATGATCATAATCTGTTACAGCTGGTACTTATATCTAATGGTGGATGATGCATTAGCGGTGTATATCTTGTTTGTGCCAGTAGCTTAGAAAAGGCATTGATAAGACCACCCCAAAATTAAAGTAATTCCTATAGGAACCAAAAACTGTTTTTATTTGTTAAACGCTACAGAACTACCCGAAACGTCAGTAAATTTTGTTCAATTAACCCATTAATGATGAAGACAGTTTTTATACGCTAATTAGAAGTAAATATCACAACCATTCCTATACAAATTCCTCTATCTATGATGAGAGACCCCGCCACCACAAGACTACACGTTACAAGAGAAGGATGTGAAAACAAGGTTGCGTCGTGACGTTAAGCCTAGCGCACGCATCCCGCTGACTCATGGTAGTATCCCCCGTGCCACGTACCTCTGATTCCGAGAGAAAAATATTGAGGTATGGATGTCTGATGCACCTAATCATCAAAGAGGCACAACCGTATTTTCAAATCCCTGGGTAGGTAACATTTCTTACCTTTACAAGTTTTCCAGTCCTCGCCTAGTTCCATGCCCAAAGGGCAAGTACAAAACGCATTGCCTTTGGCGTTTATACAGCTATGTGAGCATCCGGCAGTACCCTCTGTGCATTCATTCACATCAGCGCAAGTATGTTGATCTTTGGCCAGTCGTGTGCCGTTCAAATTTGAGCAACCACACAGGTAGCTTCCTGGAAGGTTCTCGCAGGTGTCCTGTCATGAAGAAAATTGTCTAGTTGTAAATAAAATAAGAACTGCACCCTCATCTTTTAAAGCGCCCTTCTCATAATGGCTCATATTAGTCCTCTAAATGCCTCAACCATAGTATAGACGTAACACCAGGCAGCAGTGACCAAAAGTGGTCAAGGATGAGCTTTAATCTTGAAAAACTTAACAAAATAGTTCAATACTAAAGCTCATGTTCAAAAGGAAAACGACGTCTACGGATAAGTAGCGTAAAATACATAGCATAAAAACAAAAACTGCTTAGCTGTCAAGTTTTTTCACTGTTCCACCTATCCCAATACGCTTTGCAGCTATTGACTGACGTAGCATTAACCACACTTTCTGGTAAATTGTTCCAAGTGTTGAATATGCAGTTCGGGAGACACCACTGTCGCAACATCATTCTAAACGGCTCTTTTTGCAGTTTGAAGCTGTGACCGCGGACATTGCTGTGCGACAGTTGGTGTAGGTGCTTCAGATTGGTGCCAATCGAGGCACGAAGTATCCTAGAGGTACCTTTGAGATCGCCTCGAATTCTTCGATCGAAGAATGTGGTCAAGTGGAATAACTCGAGGCGATCTTCATAGCTGGGTCTGCCAGCTCCAAATGGAATTCGAGTTGCTCGCCGCTTTACTGCTTCAATGAGATTTATGTCAGGCACAAGCACAGTTCACCATTCAGAGCCAGCAAATTCCAGAACTGGCCTTACAAATGCCTTGTAAATGAAGGCTCAAATGTTGACGGCGGATCCTTTGGAAAACCTCTCCAACATGTATAGAAGCTTTTTTGCTTTGATTATGTACATATATGTTCTGACCAGGATAGACGATCGCCAAGATCAGTGTGACTAGAGACATCTCCGATGGCGCGATTAGAAATCTTGTACCCGAGCCGCGGATTGGTTTGCCCGAGGTGCAAGACATAACACTTTGATAGGTTCAAGGGTAGAAGCCAACTGTCTCACCATTGACGAACAATGTCAAAATATCGCTGAAGAAGAGCAGAGTTTGTAACGGTGTTATAAGTCTTCGTGTCATCGGTATAGCCAGAACCTGTGGAGGACAGCAAGGCAGGCAACTCTCTTGTGTACAAGAAGAAAAGCATGGGACCCAAGACTGAGCCTTGAGGAACTCCTCTTGCCACACGATGCAGGGAAGACTGGCTATCACTGACGCGTGCTGAAGTTCTCTTGGTGAGGAAAGCCTCGTTCCACTGCAACAGCTCGCCTCTAATTTCAAGACGCCCCAGCTAGAAAAAAGTGTTCTATGCGGGACGCGATCAAAAGCCCTAGAGACGTCTAGATATATTATGTCAACTGGTGTGTTCGTGTCCAGAGACTGTATCCGATCGTTGAAACAGTGGAGACGGTTGATGATTATCGATCAACCAGGGGTAAATCCGTGCTGGTTGTTAGGGACGAGATCATTTTTGAAAGAAACTGTTCAGAGCTCATCTAATATGATTGGTTCAGCTATTTTGGCGGCAATAGGAACAAGACCTATTTGACGATAATTTTCAGCAGGATATTTGTCCCCTTTTTGAATATAGGGGTAACAGAAGCACTAATCCAGCATGAGGATAGCGTATGAGGATGTAAATATCATGCTTAGCGGTAGTGCCAGTACTGAAGCGTAGTTTTTAAGTACAGCAGCCGTGATTCCATCTTCAACAGGGGAGAAAGAGGTCTTCAGATTTTGCAAGTGCTTCAATTCATCATCTGGCAGGAACTCAACTTCGCACAAGCTGTTAAGGCGCCTATGGAGGTTAATCGTTGGTGGAGGGTCTCGATCAGGCTCGTTGACAAAGTCTTCGCTGAAGGACTCTGCTAGTAAGTTAGCTGATTCGGTAGCATTCGTGGATCTGAGGTGATGAAACTTTGGAATGAAAGTTTGTGCTTAGATACCGAAACATTTTCTAGGTAACGAGTTTGTGTTCATAAGCATTTTGGGCATTGTGTAAAGTCCTAGATAGAAGGTTAAAAAAGGATCGATGAGTCACGTAATTATGTAAGTGACCACTCGTTCTAAACCCTTTACCACGATGATGATCCCTTGTGATGCAGCATTCTCGGAATGTAATGTTAGAGTTAACCAGGGCTTTGAGAAATCATAATATACCGTCTTCACTACAGTTTTGTTAGCCGTTTTACTGAGGACTCGTCGGGCAAAAGTGTCCCACATTTCTTGTGAACTGCTGTTATCAAGGAAGGCAGGCCGAGCGAAGTCGATGCGCGCAGATCGCCGTATTCAAAACACGCCATGTTAGCAGTAGCGTATAATGTGTTTTGCTTCTCGCTTCCGTTTTGGTACCAGACTATATATACTGGCCCCTTAGAATCCATTCCGCGGAGATTTCTTGAATAAATTTCATACAAGCAGGATGGAATATATCCTGTGATCACTTTTCCTCATAGTTGTTTGATGATGAGGCATAACATAGCTTAGAGAATAGACGCAAAAAATATTAGTTTTGTCCCATTGCATTATTGATTTCAAAATCCTCTTAGAACAACGTATTTTCCTCGTTCCTAGATCAACGTCCCGAAATAGTATTTTTTGCTTAGCAAGGCCTAGGACGGTATTCGATATATTTGTTATATTGTATATTATACTTGATTTGGCTAATTCTTGTTCGTTTGTGATTCAGTTATTACCATCCGGTCCCGAAAGCTGGAATGCTATGTTTCCTCTCAATTTTAGTGAGTTTTGAGAGCTTTTCCAGCATCATTACTTTCTCTTCGACATACCCTATAACTGGCTGTAGCGATTAGATGTTGAAATAATAACAAACAGGTGAGTATTTGTGCACAATTAAGCACGTCATTGGCGTACGATGCACCATGCAACTCTCTCATAATTTAGAACTTGATTAGCTGGCATTACTTCTACTTAGTGGCAGAGTGCTGAGGTAGTGAACCAGCATTAGCCACTGCGAAATGGAAGAGCTTCTTCAATTAAAACGTACCTGGCATGGTCCATGCCCATTCCTCAAGTGACATTCATTGATATCTTCGCACGTCCTCCCATCAGACGATATTCGATAACCCTTAGGACAAGAACATTTGGAGGAACCTGGGAAATTTCTGCAATGATGTGAGCACCCTCCGTTGTCAGTATCACATTCGTTAATATCTGTAAAAAATATGGGTCTAACGGAGCACAAAGCGTTCACGTAAAGATTGTTTTACAAGCCGTAGTCAAAAACCTACCTCTGTCTATGTCAAATTGGTTTATTTGTCAAGCCGCCTGGCTCAAAATTTGATTCAATTTTTTATTTTCAATATAGTAGAGGAGCATTCAAAGTAAGTGGAGTACATCTAAACGTTAGTTATTTTGTGATACATATTCAAAGTTCAATTTCTTGAAGCAAATCTTCGACTTCAAAAAGAAAATATAACTTCAAAATAGATCGCTTATTCGAAACAGTAAAAATCTAGAAGTAGCCTTTCGGAAGGACAGAAAAACTATGAAAATCAATAAGACCACAAAGGCGTCCTACAATTGTAAAAACGACTGATGATATGGCCCGTGAGTATCCGAATTCGCATATTGAACGTTGTACCCAAGCCTACCGTTAACATTTTATGATGATGATGACATGGTACATTAGATCTTAGACTATATATATTCCATCTCTGGAATGTTGATAGCAATTAACAGGAAATTAAACTGGTCAAGTTCTTTGATTTAACTGTGTACATATACAATGTATAGATGATATAGGTAAGAGCAAATTGACGTTTATAAACTAATGAGAGGTTGTGTTTTATTTAAAGACAATTATAGAGACGGTACCATGCTATTTGAAATTGAATAATGGGTACCATCCCAGTACACTTATCCATTATAACTATAACCCATGCTGCTATTAAATAAAACAGTTACTCCGTTGTACCGTAGTAAAGAAAGGGGTCCCAAATGTCAAGTAATAATATATCTAATAGATTAGGGTTATTTTATTGGCTTACATCCAGGAATTATCCCATTTCTTTTCTGTAATTGAATGACATAATATCTCTGGGTGGTCCCACAGGCGCAGATGGAACAACCTAGATGGAACCTAAATTCTTATCCATGACGTATTTAATAAGCTCCGTATGCTTTTATTCAAAATTAACAAACAATTGAACCGAAGTCAATAAGAAATGTCACTGGTCTATACGACAATCTGTGAAGAGGAGATTCTGGTCTTGTATTTAAGCTGGAGATTAAGCTTTTTCCAATGTTATTTCATAAAATTATTTGTTCGTCTTTGGATAGTCCGACAAAGCACACCCTTGAATACCTACCCGATTTTAAGAAGTACCCTTTTGCTATTTACCTGCACATAATTTTTAATCTCCCTATTCACACTGTTAGGCCTACCCCATACGATTAGGAATTCCGATTTGGAATAGTCCAGGAATATTAAATGCCAAAAAATGCGAAGTGTGGTTTTATTTGCAGAAAATCTCTTATATCTCTGGGCTATTCGGAATCGAAATTCCGAATGTGTGCTGCGTACTGGGTTTTATATTATTTCGGTGAGAAAATACTTATGAAATCATCAAAAAATATCAGATTTATATTAGATTTTCGAAAATGAATCGTAGGTACCTTCACAGTCATTTCCTTTTTTTATGAATCCGTTAGGGCAATCACACGTGGGGATGCCATTGTGGATGTGACATATGTATTGGCATTTCTCTTTATCTTCTGGAGAACATTCTCCTGCGATCGCTGGAACTTGAGGCGAATAGGCATGGGGAGAGTCGCTCAAAAACCCATCTGTAATGTTGGAAAGAAAAACTTATTCAGTCAACTGAACCTCAGTGTAGGCACTATCTAGTATTTTCCAAAAAAAAAACCTGCCAAGGTCTAGTTTCTACAGTTTTCCCATAAGAACAGGTCAACGCGACGTTAATTTGGAATATGAAATTTAGCTGTCCATTTTAAATGTTTCTCTCTGATAGATTCAGCTGAATTTCATCGATGATAGTCTGGGATGTATAAAATTTGATGGTAGCGATAAATTGCGGCATATTTATAAAATCTGCGATTTTCAAGCATCAATACTACAATACATGTTGACTGGACTATCGCATTCCACTGTCTCTGTCCGCACTCGGCGCCCACATTTTTCACGAAGCGACAAATTCCAGAAGCCCTCCAGGCAGAACGAGTGCCTTTATCGAAGCTTGCTAGATTCTGTTCGATGCTTCTCAATGGCGGTAGATGCTTCCCGAGGAGCTATACCACTCATGATGCCCGGTGGCGTAACTCTGGTTGCCTAAGCGATAATATGGCGAAGACGTCTCATCAATACTAAAGGTTCCAGTTACGAGGACGTTACAATGTATTTACAAGAAGTTGTTTGATGGGAAGAATTTTGAGTCAACGATGTCTCTAGTCCTTTTTTGATAGAAGAAAGCTTTTATAGCCACTGTCACGCAGTAAAACTCGACAGTATTGAATAACAAGTAATGGTAAGTAGACCACGAAAGCACCATGCTTAGCTGCGCTATTTCGTGCGTTAACATCCCTCTATGCTAAAAGATGCCGCGTAACTAGTACATTTACACCGTGCTCTGTGCACTATACAAAAGCCTAGAGCAGCATCAGTGATCACGGTATACTCATGGTCATTGATGTTGCATTGAAGGTTTTGCTTGGAACGATGCAGTCCTAGCGCGCGGAACAGCTCGGTCTTGTGGTTAGCTACTCATCGTGTAAATATGACAATAATAACCAATGTCTTTTAGCTTGAATGGAACGGTACGAATGCGGACATCAATATGGTGCGATTTGACCTCATTCGACTTTTGTGGGGTTTTTAAAAGTCGTAGGTCTTTGCCAATAAGCTGCAATCTACCAATGCCTTGAAAGTCCGTATAACCCAGGCTATCGCTCAAATTAAGCCGAATTTACGCACTAAAGCCTGAAAATTGGACGTCTTAGATCCGTGCCAATGTGCGAAGCAAGGGCGGATATTTGAACGATATCAATATGACACTGGCCTTTCAAACAAAATAAATACGTGACACACAGTTATATTAATATAAAAAATCGAGTCATACTTAATTGAAACCCACTTTTTTACCACATTCTCTATAAATAGTGTCGATACCTTACAAATGACGGAAAAAGACCTTAGCTACTATTTATTTTAAGTCAGTAGAAAGATTTTCTACATAACAAAATCAACGGACTCTGTGCAACAGGGACTCACCAAATCTAACGCACTAGTAGTAATTTTTAATGTTGAGTATATTTTTGTCGACTCACCTGTTTTTATTTTTTTCTCGCATGAGGGCATCTTCCCCACCCAACTATTCTTACTACAGAACATCCATTTCCCGAATGGTTGCTTGAACTTATATCCTTTGTCACATTTGTACTCAGCCATCAAAAACTGTCTTCCTTTCGTCTTCCTCTTCACCTGCTTCAGAATTTTGAACACCCGCCCGTTTTTTATGTCAGGAGGTGGTGTAGCTGTACATGATGTATCCAACTGTGCCAAGAGGTCTTTCGATATACCTTTCAGGTGGTTCTGACCCCCTTTGTGAGCTGAAAGAGACGTAACACATTAGTTTTTATAAATATAGATATTTAGTGACAAAGAAAGTAGAACATCCTGTAAGAATCCTTTTATTTGAACGAAATTTTATATGCAGTTGTGTAACGTGCCAAAATTACATAACTTTTTTTTACTATTTTGATCATTAACCAGTAATTTGAATTTATCTTTATTAATGGTAGAGTTCCCATTCCTAGGCCAAACCCTTTTCAATGATTTTCTTTTGCCAAATAGTTTATTGATTGTATAATTTCACACGTATTATATCTTTCTTTCTCAGCGATTCAGTATTTTGTTGAAATCTTTTTTACACTAATGTTATAGTATTTAGTGTAGTATAAGAATATTTGGTTTCCTATCAAGATACCTTCTTAACCAGTTTTTCTCCGTTCATTTTGGTTTCCTATCGAACCTACCTTCTTCAAGGCCACTTATTTAACCTTCTTTTAAAAAATTAGGTGTTCTGCATCATTTACTTTCCTGCGGAGATTGTGCTGTGGGCGTCGTTTCGTTAACTTCGAGATTCTGGAATATTAGACCACCAAACGGCAGATTATGGATTAGCATCTTTTATTTGGTACCTTATGTTTAGTCGTTTTGGTTTGGGTGCTACCCCATCCATTTTCTTATGGGATTTTAATCGTCAGCGGTAAGTTTTTTTTATACGGTCAGAAGTTTGTTCAATAACTGCTTCCTTTCAATAGGAAGGCATTGCGGAGAACTTTTCTTTAGTGGAAACTAGAGGTAACTTAGCACCATATCGTGGTGTTCGACTGAAAACCTACATTACATCATTCCCCGCTTCGTCCTCTGATTTGTGTACGTCCATCATGCATTCCTAAACAGAACCCAGACTCATCAATATAAACAATATGAGAGCATTCATCATCCACCGCGGAAAAAGACCTAATGTAAGTTTCCAGTTGATCGTCACTTGCACTTACCATGGAAAAACTCTGCCAAGTATCTCGGTGTTACCCTTGACAAAGCAAAGCCTAGCAGAAACATACAGCAGCGTTGAAAACAAAATTCCAAAATGAGTTTTGGCAACTATATCCTTTGTTAAGTAGATCCTCCAAATTGACTTTGATAAACAAATTTCGACTATAAAAAATGATTATTAGACCAGCCATTACTTTTGCATGTACGGCTTGGTGTTTTCTTGCCAAGACACATGGAAAGCCTTCAAGTACTGCAAACAGGACTTTACGAACAATTTGCAACGCTCCACGGTATGTCTCAAATGAGACACTACATAGAGACCTTCACATTCCTTACTTGAGAAATTATGTCAAGCTTCAGGCACAGCGACGTTATAGTCAATATGGAACGCTCAACAAGCCTCTGTTGCATGACTCAGAGGGGCAAGTTCGTGAATATTCAAGTCCACGGATCGCACTATGATCAAAAGTTAGCGCGAACTTTTAGTAAACCCAAATTTGTTTTCAGTTCACCTCAAAATTAATCCGTCTACCAGGTCAAAAAGCCTAGTTTTTTTCCTTTAAACGGATACACTTCTGTTTTCTCCTCTTCCCATATCTCTTTTTCCTTGACATTATCTGGCTTCTCGGCAACCAGGAGTGACAAATTCGACTAATGTACAATAGACAGTGACTAATAAGTAAAGGTCCTACGGACCGCCCAGGCAAACAAATGACGAATAGTCAGTCACTTGCACAATACTAAAGGAGTCATGGTTTGAGGTGCCACTACACCTATAGTTTCCATCAGTTTTCTACTGTTCCGTGTCAGCGCTCTATTTTGAGGTTATGTTACAAATAGCTATTTCCATCAAATTATTCATGGTTTTGATTTATATCATCTGCTATATCCTGGAATTTCCTACAATTCAAAAAGAAAACATAGCCTCACAATAGGAGAACGCTGACGCTGATACGGAACAGTAGAAATCTAGAAATACCACAGCCTTTCTGAAGGAGAGAAGACTATGAAAATCAAGGAAGCTATAAAGGCGTCCTACAATTATTGTAGGAATGACTGACGATACGTCTCTAAATGACATCCAAGATGTACATAATGTTGGATTATTTTTTAACCACCACAGTTTTAAAAGCGAAAGGCTGAGCTCGCTATAGTTTCTTTTTTTCTGATAATCGAACGCGGAACGAACTTTTTATTCGTTTTTTAAATATCTATCTAATCGTTTTATCTTCGTTTTATTTCTAGTTTCTCTGTATGTATATGTTGGAAATTGCTATCTTGCTAATGGAATTTATGAATTTAAATAGATTATTTTATATGTCTTAACCGAAATAAGAATCTTTTACTTCGTTTTAATTATTTGAATTGTTAATTAATGTATATTTAAAGTAAGTGTTTTAAATTGATGAAGAAAAAAATATTTTTTTTCCGGAACGTCGGGAACCTTATAACAGGAAACTGTGTTTCTTTAGACTTCAAATCCAGTTATTCAGAACAAATTTAGTAAAAGACATTTTACGGACCGAGGAACGTAGATTCTTCAGAAAACAAACTATGTTTGAGTTCCAATAACTCTTTATTACTAGCAAATTACAAATATTTAAATATCCAGTTCATCCGGTTGATAGTCAAATGCTTGTCTTTCACCGCTACCAAAAATACCGAAAAACACTGAACAAAACAACGACACCGCTAACGTTGTCCAAAACACAATTATCCAAGATTCAATGGATCTATCGTAGGTCAGCGCACCAACCACATATGGCCCTACGATGCCTGCTAAGGATCCCACTCCATTCACAATCGCCATTATGGTTCCAGCGTAGTTCATGGTCAAATCGTTTATGTTTACCTTCATTCCTGAATAGTTTGGACCAAGACAAAACACGGCTATGTTATATGTGATTATGGCTGCTGTTCTATTACATCCGCAATATCCCGTCACGATTAGTAAGATTGCAGGAGCCAGTTCGGCAATGTAGGTATATAATTTCCTTAATTTACCAACTGACATCCAGTTTTTGGTTATAATTATATCTGCAATATATGCGATCCCCATAGCAGATGCCCACAATAGAAGAAATGGAATTGCAGTGAATATGGCGTTCATTTGTACGGATAGTTTCAAAATCTCTTTCAAATACTTTGGAAGGCAAGTCACTAAAGTATAATAAATATAACTATGTGCCAATTGACCAATTAGCAACCCCCAAAAGGGTACATTCGTCCAAATGGCTAGCCATGGTACTTTCGGGATTGCTTTCTTCTGCGGTATTTCTTTCAATAAGTATTCTTTTTCTTCTTCAGTTATGAATGGATGAGTTTCCGGTGTAGAAAAAACCATAAACAAGTAGAAAATGTACCATATAAGAGCTACTACTGCCCATACATAGAATGGCGTGTACCAACGTTTAGTTTGTTTAATTATCAGTCCTGTTAAACTTGAACCAGTCACTGTACCAAAGTGGGTCCCACTGAATGCTACTGCTCCTAAGAAAGATCTTTGACTTTTGGGAACCCAATGTTGGAGGAACGTAGATACTGTTGGAACCAAGGGACCTTGAACTACGCCAAGTATAAACCGTAGTATCACAGCTGCAACATCACCTCTCGAAAACATTGATAAACACATTGGAAAAATAAGAGTGGTGATACACGAGATGACCATACATGCGCCCATCACATGTCTTGCCCCGATTTTGTCCGCCAGTACACCTCCAGGTAGCTGACTGCCCAGATATCCGATGTAGAAAGAGTATAGAGAGAAAGACTCCCATTCTGGATTCCAGTCGAACTGAACTTCATGCTTACTAACCGTCTTCTCATACTTGTACATTGGACATGCATCTGTTATATGTTGATGGCTACTGTTCTTCTTCTGTGGTTCCTTCAACATCTCTGTAATGGCTATGTTGTAGACCACTCTCATATGGTACGCATTCACGAGTGACAGCTGCATCATTATGACCATTATGTAGCGTTGCGGTATATAAAAATTTCCAAATACACATGATAAGGGCTTGAAGCTCATAACTGTTAGTTCAAATCTTCTAAAATCAAACGGAAATCCTCCGTTTAGACGTTAAACATGTTTTTGCACAAATGTCAAAGGTGATGACATAATAGCATTGTCATATTATTTGACATCATTTATTATGGAAATCTATCTACAGATAAATCGAGGATAAAATTACAATCTAATTGTGAGTTATAGATTATAAAAATCATGCTCTTTTCACCGTTTGGCGGTTAGCTCATTAATGCCATAACAGTAAACATATCGACCAACCCTTTCATGGGTGTTGATTTTTTGCCCAACTAGGGAAGATGCACACTGCGCAAATCGATCTTCAATGCAGCTGCTACTCGTTCTTGCCCACATAAAGGAGATCAACAAGAGGTAAACTTAGATCGCACGCTTATGACAAGAGAGTTGTCACACTTATGACACAGACTACTAACAGAGGCGACAGCCTGCCTTAAAAATCAGGTTCTATCAACGCCAACTTTAGTCCTTTGAGTTTGGTAGGATTTCCGCTACTGTCAACTGTTCCGGTGAATTAGGAATATTAGATTTACTTCTACTATTATATTCAATATAAAAAACTCCCCACAAATGATCTTGCCTAAAAATGCATGTGGGCAAGCATATACATATATAGACTCCATGGTTCACGCTAAAGTGTCAAGCATATCATGTATCTGAACTTACACAAACAAACGTCCTTAAAACAGACGCCTTATGTGTACGTACGAGAAGATAACGATATAAATGAGATTCTCGTTGTTACAAGGTCTACCGGTTTTTGGTATCTACCACTTTTAGTCCTGATATATCAAACTACCGATTTAATGCAGAATCTACCGAAAAAAATTAACTACCTTCTTCTGTATCCCAAAAATGATTTGTGTTATACATTTATGTTGTGAAATAGCCCAATAAACAACAAAATACTATTATACTCTATTGCAGGTATTTTTTTTCCGCAAATACCCAATACGCTAACGGCATGTCGCTATACCGCTGGTAAAGAGTGTCACAATCTTGTTAGCAAACAACCAATTTCGAATTAAAGTTTCCAGAATTTTTATTTAAACAAAACTAGATGCTTATTTTTATTAAAGAACTTGTTGTTTAATCCGCACAATTTGACAATTCTGACATTATACCATACATGGACAGTTCTAAGTTCTAAATTGTACTTAAAAAGGCCACAATTCTGGGCCTAAAAATCAGTAAACCGTACTTCAAACATGTGGTTTAATTTAGCAGTCAGACAAACACAAAGGACTATCAGCATAAAGACCACAGGATAAGCTTCAGATGTTATATAATTATATCTTCACCTCTAGTCCAAACCGGCGAAAACCACCAAGTGCAGCTTTTTCAATACTTTCCAAGCAAGCATCGTTTACCATTACCGACACAGCTTGCAGTTTCCAAAAACTGCTAAAAGTTCATGAGTATATTTGACAACCTTGGCTGTTTGAAAAAGAGACCGAAAAATCTAGATCTATCCTAGTAGAAATAAATACTGTTTACGCTGATTTCTTTTCACTAACAATATCTGCTTTCTATAGATGTCTTAATCATATTTAATAACGTATCATTTTATACATATACAACGCAAGATCTTCTTACTTTTATTCATTTGGCAATCGATTGCAGTTTCTTTGATTTCGGAATTGAATCAGATCTTGATTCTTAAAATATTGACGCTTGTTTTACATGGTATTTCTAAAACATGCTGCGTAAATATAAAGGGGCGATTCTTTAGACTATTCTATGAATAAATAAAACTTTAGACGATTTTCAAAATGCTGCGTGGTTTCGGTATTTTGAAAATCGTTGAAGCTCACTGGAAATCGGTTTTTCATTATTAAATTTTGAAGCTTTGACAGCATAATAACTAGTCCGACACTCTATTTGCAAAAAATATAAATATCCTTGTTTGAATTCGAAATTATCCGTTCCAGAGAAAAATATTATTTTGATTCCGATATACTTGCTCTACCACTGAGAAAAAAATGCTAATTTGAATGACAGATTTGTAACAAGGCATCCCAAAAACCACGCAAAAAAATTATCAAATCACATTAGTTTCAGGTTTTTGCCTGATTTTTCAGGCAGTATTGGAACAGTACCATTCTCAAAAACTGTTCATTTCATCGAAATTAGAACGTTTTTTTGAGACAAGAATCGAGCATTTTAAAATTATTCATTTAGTGCCACTGGCACAAAGGCTAAAGGTATGTAAAAATTTAGATACATTCCATTAGAGCGACTCTAGCGATCCAAATGGGTTAACTGGCTCCTGTAGGTCTCATCATGTGGGGCCTCAAAATTTTGTTTGATGTCACGGTGTTGTTGAAAGGTTGTTTAAGAAAAATTGATTTCCAGTGACGTCTCTATAAAAAAGTGTCATCCTTTGAAATTTTGTTTGATGTGGGGACGACTCGTATTCTTATGATTTTTAATACTCACTTTTAGTCAAATTGCCCTTTTTTCCACTGTGAGGCTGCTTTTCTTGTGACTTTTTGGCCTCTGTTTGTATTAATCCTGCAACAAATATGTATATTAACAGCAAAGTTTTATATAGGATTTCCCACGTAGAGCCGCAACGATAGATTACTCAAAAGTTGACGTAACACAGTTGTCACAATTCGGGCTTATCGTTTAACTGATGGAAGCAAATTAGCTAATTTTTTACTTACCACGCCTACTGGCGTGGTCTTGTAATCACGCAAATTTTCGAAAATGAAATATTGTTTTTTGAATATCGTATTGAAAAGGGCGTAAAACGAAAGAAGTAAAAATCGCTCAAACTTCGTTTTTTATGCTTCATTGATAATTCTACGCACCTATTAAACATAATTCACACATCATGGATTCTCTGTACATTAGGCCTGAAAACAGAAAAATACGTATTCTCGGGAGATGGATCGCGGATCTGTTATGGAATCAATCGCATTTCTACCGCGCAACAGCATAGTGTTTTCTATGCACTGACCGCGCTACCACGGTGCTACGTCTTCCCAGGTTAGATATCGGGGAGAAGCGACGTTTCCAGATGCACTACCAATGCGGCAGGGAAAGAATGTCTATGTGTGGGCCTGTTTGACTGACTTTTTCTCAAAAAGTCCAGTTTGTGCTGGACATATTCCTTTATGTACTGATAAGGGCGTTGCGTGGGAAACGCAGTCAACCTACTTGACGCCATTTTTTTAAAATCGTAGCACCGGAAGTAAATACATTTGAAATAGAGTACTTTATATGTTATGCAATTTTTTATTCTACGCACGATTCTAAATACGTTTTATGTATTAATTTACTTCATAATTAGTCTAACCGCTATTGAAATATCTTAAATTATGCGAAAAAAATGACAAAATGCAGACCAATGAATTATAACCATTTTATCGCGTATTTTTGCCTTTGCCATATGATTTGTAACGGGTTTCTTATAGTAGAGGTCCCACTTTAGTAAATTTTATTATGAATTTGTATAACAAGTAGTCGAGATTGGTCAAAAAGAAAGAATGAACATTAGATTTTAGAAAACCCAGTCAATATTTTCAAAGGAAACCAGATTATTACGTAATTTCATCGTATTAAGCATCGAAAATATCGAGTAATAGATATATTGTTTTTTCGATTGCTTAAATGGTCCATAATGTTAGTTGGCCATGGCGGAAATCGGGCGAACTAGTGATGATATCACCCTATCCTCGCGTTGTATTTTCAATGCTTAGTCAAAATTTTGAAAAAGGGAAATTTCTTGATTTTTTGGGCTTTGAAAAATCTAATTTCCATTTGCTTAAATTAATGTTTTCACATCTGGTAAATCATATAACAATGGCAAAAATATAAGGAAAAATTCATTGGCTTAAATTTGTCATTTTTACGCAAAATTTAAGATATCTCAAAAATGTCCAATATAACAAGTTGCAGGCACAAGTATCGAATGCATGTTGCTCAACATGTGCCTGCAATTCGTAATAAATAAATAAATAAATAGCGTTTATTCCCCAGTTAAGGAAACCATTTACAGGACAATCCTAAGTTAAATCAAAATAACAAGAACAGAAAACATCTAAAGAAAAAATAAACAAGAAAAAGAAGCAAAAAAGAACATATTTCAATCAGGTGAGTAACATATCATAAATTATACAAGCAATTTCTAGCTACTCCCAGAATGCTGTTCAAACTGTCAGCATGTATATCACAATAAATTGATATTGGATTGAAAGTTTCACACATCACATATATGGGTGCGTTCAAAAACAAATTTGTTCGAGCCCTGTCGCAATAAAATATTTTAACTGTACGACTTTGATTAGATGGAACATTAAAGTTTATTTGAGCCACAATCTCATTAGCATCAATTTGATTGTGAAGTAGTTTATGCAAGAACATAATTGATGCACACTTCCTTCTCAGTTCTGAAGACCTAAAGACTGCACTTGAAACCTAGACAATAACAAACTTTCAAATATACCACGTTCAGGATATATACCGTCAACTTTAAAAGATAAAAATTTTAGAAACTTTCTCTGAACATGCTCAAGAGAATCAATGTAGCAGTTGTAAATTGGGTTCCAAATTAACGATGCATATTCCAATTTCGATCTAATATTTGCAGAATACTAAACCAACAGTGACTCTGGGCGGCTAAAGCTTTTACATTTAGTTGTATAAATGGAAACGCACCTGTCTGAGCACATGTGACGTCTGACAAACTTTACATTATAGCATATCCGAGAATTTTCGGAATGTCCGGCAACACTGTCAAAATAAAGCACACGAAATGTCTGTACTACAGAAAAGTACGTGGGAGGCAGACGCTGCTGCTACATATTAGAGCCCGACAAAGATAGAAGATGCTACGTATGCCGACACATCATTCGTTTCCCACTAATTTTCAAATATAAAAGCATTTCAATTTGACTAGTAGTAAACAATAATCGAAAATACTCAAAAATGGATTAAGAACTTTATAGCATTGACAACTCTGTGCCCAGCAAGCCAAAAAGATCTACATGAATGCACACGTTCGTTATTTACATAGGGATTTTTTTACTATCATTACATACCTAGAGGGAGAAATGTAACTTTTCGTTAGATTGATGCGGTAAAAATACAGTTTTAAACAAAAGAATCTGAATGAGTCAGCCCAACCTCGCATCCATTGCGAACAGGTACGACATGCCTTAGTATTCAAATCAAGTGCCGCACGGTGAAAGGGTTAACCTAGCTGTTTATTTACAAATGGATTTGAAAAAAACGAAATTAGAATATCCCCTATTGGGATGCAATAATGAAGTTATGTTAGTTTACGGTGAGTGTTTTCAAGCTTCTACTGACACTCCGCGAGTGTATCAGATCGTTTTTCTCTCGGGCTGCATAAGTTTATTTAAGTCATGCAAAAATAGTCGAGGTGTACACAGTAGAACACCTATTCCCAAATCTTGCAAATATGGGAAGAAGCTAATATGGTTGTGTTTCAGAATCAAACGGCAACTTCAACTGTATTTACGAGCAACACGTGTGACAGGGTAATACTTGAAATTTCAAGAGTAAGTATACATTTCAATTTACTTTTTAAGTGTTTAAGCTCACATTAGCTTTGATATTTTAAACAAAAAATTTGTTTCTGAAGAGGAAAGTCAAGGCACCCTATTTAAAACATGAGTATTTAATGAGACATTAGGTTCATATGTACCGTAATAGTTATGTATGAGTCTAGGGCGTTAAGCAAGTAGTTATGGCCTGTGGCGTGAACTGAGGAGGACATAATCACTTATTATACAAGAGACACATACAAAATCACCTTATAACAAGAACTTATTATAGCTTTCAGAAAAAACTAAAAATAAATAAAAGTTGACCGTACTATTGTACGAAGATGACAAGTCGACGGTTCCGAGACAGCAGTTCAGCAGCTTCGCGAACTTGCGATTCTCCATGCTTATAGCACCAGTAGTTGCGCTGTCGCATAGCAATCAACAAATAGGGATAGTTGCTGCGGTTGCCCTATTGTGTTCATCATAGGTTAATTTAGCAGGCGCGGGCGCTAAAGTTACTTTTCATCCCTAGGCATTGTTAGTTTCAAAATCACCACGTCGTTTTGAACGCTTCTTACCTCAGCACCCTTTGGGACTGTACTATAATTAGGATATACCTAATAAACTCTTCTATTTTTTCGTAGCCACTAATTAAGATATTCAATGATAACTGACATGCAAACAAATGCAACCGTGATCATCAAAGAAAATTTCGTGTAATACGTATCCGAATATAGCATTGGCGTTTGAAGATTCTTTTCATTATATAACAATGCCAACATTGAACAGCAATAGTATAGCTTTTGTTCAGATGTCATCTATTTAAACGCCGAATTTACTAATATGGGTGGGGAAAGCAATACGAGTATAATATATTTCCCACGCATAAGTATTGTGATTGTGTTGATTTTTTGAAGATTGTTTTAAAGTTCTTCCTTGGTAGAATACCAAAAGATCCAAACTGTTAAAAATGGTTGGCCCAGATTGGATTCAAATTCCATAAGCAAAAAATACAAATTGTGTCCGGTGTGTTTACCGCAGTTTAAGTCTTCTGTATACGCGAATTTTGTTAAATGGCCTTAACCTGCATAGCTTTAGAGACATTATTAGTGTTACTTTTTCATTTATTTTTTATTATATCCGTGATTATTTTTCTGATATGATAAAATGAAGCAAGAGATGTAACATGATCAACTAGGGTCATCGTCCTATGAATGAAAATCTTCCTCAAAGTGAGGAACATAAATGAATTCATTTCATTTGTTATGCATAAGCGACCTACACAGTCCTGACTCTTACAAAGTAAAGTATTTTATGATGACATTTTACACTTTGGGAGAACTGGAAGACATTGATTTACAATACACAAGCAACGAAATGCTGCTTTATGAAAAACAGAACATTTGATTTTGTGAAGAATGAGATTTCAACGTCATGTAAACCTAAATTTTCATGTTTGACGATAGGCAAAACAACTGTTATTCAGAATAAATAATTCGGTTCTATGTCCATATAGCGTGCGTTGATGTGTGAATACATTAATGTAGCATCAATAACGATTTTTGCAGTTTCCTCAAAACTATTCTGCTGTCAGTTAGTTCCTTATTTGATAACGGGATCCAATAAATATCTTGTCCATTGATGACTTCCGAATAAATTAAAATATCCAAATCCCATAATTGACAATGGCAAGTTTCACTATCTCCTTTTCTCTTCTTCATTTTCCTGCCTTAGGTCGCATATCAGTGTCTCCTCCCGCAAACAGCAGCAGAACTGTTACCAATAAGCAGAAATCAACTTGGTATAGTAAGGACGCAAATTCAAATCTCAACATCGGAAATTCTTTGAAAGTGTTAAATGGCCTCAATCCAAATAACACTTGCGGAAATATATGAGTTAATTGCTCCAAAACCCCTCCCAACCTATTTCATGCTACAATATCCGTGACCGTCCAACTGCAAAACGTACTCACAATCGACATGCACTACAGAATGTACATCTTTATTTTTGGACACACATTTTTTCACATATTTTTGAAACCGATATTTCGATTTGAATGAAATTTGGAATACACATGTTTAGTCAGATTTATTTATTTAAATTATGGCTGAATTTTTTACCAACTCTCTCAACGACTCTGATGTTTTTTTAAAAAAGATCCTTTTATTTACATCGTCCTTAATTCGGAGTCTTTGGAATCAAAAGCAATTGCGGAATCCGTGCCTTTCAAACCATTGGTTAAAAATCTACCCCATAAGTGCTGGTATCGAAATATTCGAGTTTGGGTTCAAGGATCGGGACCATCGGAATCGATAATCGATTCCTACTAGTGACGTTCCTTTGCGGCGTTCATTAACACCGATTCGGATTTGCGAAAATCGGAATCGAAAAGAATCGGAATTAAAATAAATCGTGAATGATTCGAAGAAGTTGGTTCCGAGATTGGAATCAAAACCAAAGAATCACTAAAAGGAATCATTTAGCCCAACAAGTATAATAATAACAAAAGTAATAATAATCATAATAGCATTTATTGTCCAACAGTTACTCATGTACATGACAACTACATGAACAAAATAAACTAATAGTCTCCTAGTCTCCCACAGAGTTTGGATAGAAAATAAGCAATTTAACTACTGATAAGTCATCCTAATCGCTACACTAAGGGAATATATACGCGGAGGTACCCAAAAATAACCGAAATAGCATTGCGGTGGACGGAGCTTGTGTAATCATTTCTGCCCCTAGAGACGTACAGCGCAACTCATACCAGATCAGTGCCACCTGAGTTGTCATCTGGCTTATTTCGTTCCTGTGTAGTCATTATTTTTGCTAGAGCTGTTTCGTGCTTGTTTCGTTTTTCACGGTGGCAAGCTTCAGTGAGCAACGTGCAGCTGTGAAATTTTGCTCTCTAATTGGTAAAAATGCTGTTGAAACTGTTTTAATGTTGGAAATAGCTTACAAAGATGACGCTATGGGAAAATGTTGAAACAAATCGGGAACTTGTGCTATTTGGAGGTTTTACGACGATTGCGACACAGTGTTCGGCAAGAAAGACCCGATTTGTGACAGTCAGGAGACAAGTTTATTAGTTGTAGTGGACAGTATTTTGAAGGAGATAAGGTTACTTTGTGAAAAAGCTGAAAATAAATAGCTTTTAAAAAATAATTCCGTTCTTCTTTGGGTACCCCCTCGTAAATATATCTCGTAATGACAGCTAACTCTATTGAGATTATTGCACAAAACATGCACAGGTGACCTGACCAAAACGTTGGTACTTGCTCTAGATACTTTAAAAGTGACGAAAAAAACGAAGGTACATTAATATTAATTTGCGCTAGAATATCTGGGAAGTCGATCATGCCATGTAATAATTTAAAGAGAAATATCTCGGATCACACTTTTTTTCTGAACTTTAAGCTTTCATTTTCAAAATGCCCTCATGTCTCTGCATTGCTATCTTTTTGCTCAGGACAAACTCCCTCAGACTTCATATAAAGAAATTTAAGTAACATTCTCCATATAATACTCGCATATTCAAGTTTGCTACGCACATATGCATATGCTTCATAGCCTACAATTCCTGACAACCGTATGACTTACGCGTTTCAGAAACTTTTTGCAAAATTTAAATCTTTGGTCATAAAGAACACCCAGATCTCTGAATGTATAACATCTATCCGACAATGCACCGTCAATATTTTAGTTGTAAATGAAAAGGGTTTTTTCCTACTATTTTAGATGTAAATTGTTGACATCGCACCAAGTCCGAATACTATTCAACTCCATCTGTGGACCCAAACAATCATGAATATACGTTATAGACGAATATATTTTCATGTCATCAGCGAAACATAATTGCATACATTTCAAATTTTCTCAAAGGTCATTCATAAACAACAAAAATAAAAGTGGTCCCACTTAAGACCCCTGGGGAACACCGGATGGAGCTGAGTAGGCTTCGGACTTGAACCCATTATATGCTACGTATTGCTTCTGCCGTGATAAATAGGATCCAAAGAACTTTATAGTACTTGATATGAATCCAAAGTGCTCTAATTCCGTTAATAAAGCTTCATGAGCAATTGTGTCACAGGCCTTTGAAAAATCTGTATAAATGATATCGACCTGACAGTTATCAACCAGGGGTGAGTTTGTAAATCACTTGGCAATGTAATACCGTACACAGTAATGGAATTTAGATTGACAGATGAAATTTTAATCTGGAATACTGTGAAACTTTTGTTTCAAAACGCCTAAATTATTACATGTAATGACACTTGATGATAGCCGACTAATTTCTAACCACGTTTTCTGCGAACATTGTAGTTATTATAAGAGACCCTAGGGATACGAGGTAGCATTTTTCTGAAAAATATATATTCTGTCAATTTCGAGCAGTTTTTGATAACCAAATAAAATAAACCAACAATGAACTATGACAAGTGACAGAACTCTTATTCCCAAGGTTTTGAGCTTGGGAGGAAAAGCACCCTTTTGACGTTTCCGAAGGATTACTTGGTTCTATTTCCGAACGCATGTAACAGGTACGTCAAACAATTACGAACGCTAAAATTGTTTGACCTACCTGTTACATGCATTCGTTTGTACTTGTATCTACGAACGCAGCCCAGTGCTTCAGATATGTACTGAGTTGAAATAGCCAAGTTCGTAACAGTAAATCGACTATTGACCAAATCGTGCAGCCGCTGTGAGATTTTACTTTTTATTAAAGAGTAAAGCGATTTGTATAATCGATTATTTCAAAGACATTCGCAAAAATGCATATGAGAGAAACTGGGTGATAGTTCCCAACGTTTGAGTTTCCACCACTTTTGGAGACAGGCCACAGATAATTTCCACATCGCAGAAAATTAGATTTTATGCTCAAGTTAAATAGCACAGTAACTATATGTTTCAGTTGTGGAATGGCTAAGATAACATCACTTTGGTGAACTGGATCCAAGCTTATATTCAGGGAAAACCAAATTGGTCTGATGGCTTGAGTTCAATGTGTACGAGAGAGAAGCACGAGAAGTGTGTATCAATACATGTTAGAAAAAGATAGAAGCCGGCTGAAGAGCGAAGGTCATCACCACATTGCCTAGCGATGGTGACGCAGAAGGTCGTGCAATCTGCCGTGTTGCCAATATGTTCCATCAGAAAATGTTCGCGCAGGCTTCTACAATAGGTTAGGTTACAGTCAAACCCAAGAACGAGGTCTGTTAATATTTTGTTTTCGTTTTAATTAGAATTATTTATTCCAATTTTAATGCGCCTTAGTATTTTAATTTATTTTAGAGTTATCTTTGATTTCCACCGATGGTGAAAAAATGGTTACATTTTGCGACAGTGAGCGGTAGGAAAATGTAACAAATACCATTACGCCATACAAATTATCACTGCCTGCGTGTACGCAGGTGAAAACCAGCAGAATGTCATTCACCAATCAGCGCTAGAGGGGCACTGACCAAAATTGCTCATCTATGATCATAGAGGAGGATACCTTGTCTTGGAATGTACGAGATGCGATGTTGCCAAACAAATCAGCATTTGCAGCATTTGTGGCGATCCTGACCTTTCATTTGGACCTAAAATAGAGCGCCATTAGGGCCGATCCGGAATCGATCCTAAACAAATTCGACACAATTCACAATTCAAAAATGTGTACGCCCGAAACAAAACTATTATTTGGGCATAGAGAATACACTAATGCATATTTTCAACATGCATCTTAATTGAAGGAATTGGTGTAGCATATTGGCAACGCAGCAAATGGCCGCGTCAGCGTTGCTTGGCAACGCGGTGATGAGCTGCGCTATCCGGCCGGCTTCTATCTCCTTCTAACATATGTGCCTATACCTACATACCTCTCTTTCTCTACACATTGATCTCAAGTCGTTAATTATGATGCTTTTGATGTCAACCTGATACTTTTTTACTTCTATTATCGTTTGTATGCTTTTGACCACCCTGTATGTCACAAAGCTCATCTTTATACATATATCTAAAATATATTTGCCTCGTCTAACTATACTGAATACACGCGGGTGTATAATGACTGTTCCTAGACATCTATGAGTGATAAATAGTCAAGAGAGCTTTGTTACGGAACTTCTAACGTTCACGAATGATAAATACAATGCAAAAGCCTACAGAACGCCTACCTGCAGAGCAAATATGCGAAGTTTATTTGCGGAAGATTATTTATTCGCACTCCTTTGAATGAAGAGAAGAAAATGGTGCTAGTGAACTCATTAGACTTCATTTATAGCACCGACAAGGAAACGCGTCCTTCCATTGAGTAATTATTGGTCTATATGTAAAACCAGAATTTCAGCTGGAACCGAAATGTCGGTCCAATTTTGGTTTCGAAACAGGAACCGAAACCGAAGCTTCCAACTGAGGAGTATGATATGGGAGGTAAGATAGTAGTGTATCTCCATGAAAAAACAAACTCATTCTATTGGCAATAATAATAGTTTATTAGAGTAAAAACAAACTCTATATAATATGTAATAATAATTAGTCTTTATCAAATATATAGTCTTTTAAAGCACGAAATAAATAATGTCTTCTTGTTTCCAATATTTTCTAAAAAAATAGACAAAAATACAAAACTAATAACTTATGGCCTGTAGCATCAATACTATTTAACCTAGTTTAATTTGAAAATTTCTATTGCACAAGTACTTAAATACCGTTTGAATTTTGGAGGTTAAATATCGTCTAATACATTTTTAGTCTTGGTCATGATAATACTTTAACACGTTCACTGCGAACGACGCTGATCCGCGTCCGACCGATGTTTAACGAAAGGCGGCGGGCGCGGATCCGCGCTTCTGGTTGATATAAACTCACAAGACTGTGGTGTTGTCAGTTTGTACCGCACTCGCTTTCTGTTTGGTCGCCTACATATTGAACATCTTTTTGGACTATTTTACGCGTGGGATCAAGTTTCGTATATTTTTTCATTGCGCAATGGCGGATGGTGTGGAAGCAGGTTGTTCTCGTCCAAAACGAGTGAAAACGTATTGTAACCGTAATAAAGGGCTTACAGAAAAAGAACTGTATGATATTCTTGCAAATTCGGGGAGTGAAATCGAGAATATAAGTGACTCAGACAATTATGTTCCCAGTTCAGATGGAAGTGAGAAGTCTGATGGAAATATGTCTGAAACGAGTGATGATTTTTTCAGCCCACAGTCACCTACAGCTACGAATTTAGTAGATACGAGCATGTGGAATGATGAGATAAAAAATATTTAAAATATTATTTATTTTTCTTTGCATTAGTTTTGTTATCCTTTGTTTGATTTTATATTTTATTTTATTAGAAGACCATGTTTGTTTTGTTTGGTCCCAATATAAATATTTTTATTACTTTGAATAATGCATGTTAAGTTTGTTTCAGTGCCATATATCTTTTGATAGGTTTTGAAGTGTTACTTTGTGTTATTTCACATTATTTTGTTATTATTCTAAGCTTCTATTTGAATATCATTATTTTGTTCTTTTCCATAATAAACTTGTTTTACTGAATATTTGTTTTTGTATTTTATAGTCTGGTCTGAAATTAATTAAAGAAAAATCTTTAATAGGGTTTCAAGACATGTTTCGTGTTACTGCACGAAAAAAACGAGATAGAAGAAGAAAATGTATATATGAAATAGTTTTCAATTACACAACGCACATCCAATAGGCTTACGACGCGAATCCGCGCTCCGCTTGTGCAGCGCCTAAAATCGTTTAGCCGCTACCGTGCGCGCGGTGCGAGGCAGGTCGCAGCGAACGTGTTTTAAACGATGATTTGGGTATCCTTGAACTAATAAAAAGTAGTTTTCTTGAAGAACTTTTCAAAGACCAAAAACAAAAACTGTTTCCAAGAGATTAGTAACTATAGCATTTTTTTAAGAAACTTGGTTTGTACAGTTTTGAATATTCTGCCTGAAATTGAGCCTGAACAGGAATTACACAATAATTTGTGAGTTAATTACATGAAAAAGTAACTAGATTTCTGTAGGCTTACACAACTCAAATTCAATGTTGGTGCAACAGGGCATTAGAAGTTTTTTTTTATACCGAAGCAGCCGCGCAGGCAGAAGCCTAAATGCCGCGACAACGCGGCTGCTATGATGATCCCAAAGACATTTTTTTAATCCGATTTTTGAACTACCTAAGGTAAGTAAAACTGGGAAAAGCTTCCTCTTGTAGATTGTTCCACAATCTCGACACCCTTGGGACAAAGGAGCGGTCGTATCGGCCAGTTCTGGACGTACGAAGTTCGACACGGTTAGCATGGGAGGTCATAGTCAGGCGGGTCTGTCTGACAGCCACACCGCGCGGCGGCGTCATGGAAGAGAGCTCTGATGAGCAAAGCCCGTTGGTGTAGCCATAGGACAGCTAGATCTCGCACCGGTGGAAAAGAGTACCGAGTCTGTTCGTAAGAGAAAAGTCATCGATCAGTCAGACAGCCCTCCTCTGGACAGCATCGAGCATAAATAATTTAGTCGGGGCGGCAGCACCTCAAATGTGTCAGCAATACTCGAGGCTAGGCCTTATCTGGGCGTTGTATAGAATGAGAAGGTCATGCGGAGAAAAGTACTTCTTAACCCTAAACAAATAGCCTAGCTTTTTCCCAGCAGCTGCTGCTATTGACAAGATGTGTTCGTGCCAGATCAGGTCCTCGGTGATCGCAACTCCAACCAACCGACATAAATGGCTTTTTGGCAGAAATCGGTCATCTATCGAAACCGGATGAGCGCTAGGACGCTTTTTGTTCATCAAGGTACAGTACTTTGTTTTGAAAGCATTTAACTGTAAGATTGGTGCGTCCCCAAGCAGTGATAACCTCCAGGTCTATCGTCAAAGAGGAAGTCGTCGCTAGTCTTCTTTTCTGAATTCCTGTATGTAGAGTTCTGTCATCAGCGAAGCTGTGAATTAGGTTGATCGTGCAGGTTAAAGTCAGCCACCCATCTGCAAAGGTTTTCTGGGGGGCCATAGGATGGAAGTTTGCTTAGGAGAGCACCGTGTCACAGCTAATCGAATGCTTTCGTGATGGCAAGAGCAACGACATGAGCCTCACCATAAGACTGGATTAGTTTACTCCACAATTGAGTGACGTAAGCTAGGAGGTCCCCTGTGGATTGTAGGTGCCGGAAACCGTACTGCCTGTCGCTAATCAAGCTGTGACGTTCGAGGTAGTTCAGAAGCTCGCGATTTATGCACCTCTACATCACCTTACTTGGGACAATTTCCCCTTGGGTTTCCCCCACACTTGAGTCAGCTATTTAATAATAATAATTAATTAAAACCTGGCGGATATCAGCTATAAAGCAGCTCTCACCACCAACCAGAGTTGGTGGTTGACTGTGTTGAAATGCAAATATCTCAGGGTTGTTTAATGAGAACATGATAGGACCATACTAGCAAGTAGAGATACAGCAAGTCAAGTAGCTTGATATTTTCATAAACTACTTTACTTGAAAATAAAATTAGTTTAAATGCTTGACTTGACTTATTTATTGTTCTCCTTGACCTGAGGTACTACTTAATACTTGGTGGCAAATTATATTTTTGTTCTACTAAAGACCTACAGTGATATTTATTTGTACAACCGATGATCCGTATTTTGTATTTTAATGCAAATAATCACGTAGGAAATTGAAAATTGTCACAATATATTGCCATCCCAAATGATGCATACAAACAGCGTTGCCAAACGAAGAAAAAACGAAATCGCTAGATAGTATCGTTGAAATTCGTTAGATTCGAAAACAAAATCGGTAGGAATAAACAATCAAGGCCCGATCAAGGGCTTTTGGAACACGCAGCACCACCTATGAAAAGTATAGTTTTATATAGTAGTGGATTACATTACGCATTTCATGTTATTAAGTATTATAAAGTACTCAGGCAGCAGCGGTGGCCGCAGTAGTAGACTCTTCGGTTTCCTGATCAGTCGCCGTGCGCTGTGCGGGTTCGAGTCCCGTCCCAGGAGAAATGTTTCTCTTGGCTATGGATGTTGTGATTGTCCGTAGGTGGTACACGGTCTCAAACTGTCGAACGTGGAGGTACCAGTCGGCGGATCTCGTAAGCGGAGCCAGAATGTGTGCATGTTGCATGCACACGTGTTCCCTCGCCAGAGTTCGTGTGGCGTCCCCCTTTCCCCTGTACCCCCCTATAGCCCCACGGTGCCCAATGGGTGTTTAGGCCTTAGGCCTTCGTGGTAGTTAGAGTATAAAAAAACAAACAAACAATGAGCCATGAAACTGAAAACTGACTACACTCTTATTTCCAAGGTTTTGATCCCGGGAAGAAAAACGATTGCTTTGTTCTAATTCCGAACGCATGGAATAGGTACGTCGATCAATTGTGAACGCTAAAATTGTTACAGAGTAACGGCGGTCTTTTCCGGTTCGGCAACACTGCCTACACCGTACTAATGATCACTAAAAAGGACAAAACAACTTTGTATACGGCTGGTTATAGTTGCAGAGACAGAAAGCAAACAGATATTTTTCAGCCTCTGATGTAATCTTCCAGGTTGTCAACGAATAGATTTTGCATCCCCAGTGTCAGTCATGTGCTTGACAAGCTTGATCCTACCATTCTGCTCTCAGAACAAATTCTGCTTGGGTACTGGTTCGAGTATACTTGACATCAGAATTTGCTGTTGTTTTTATCTTTATCAATCATTGTATTCTGTTGTACAAAGCTCGTTGCAAGTGGCAACGTAATCGGTAAAAATGATTGTTTTCAGTCACCGATGCAAAACGCATAAGGTGTCGTTAGATCCTAAGAATTATTTCAAGTCGCTAACACGAAGCAACATTACAATTAAACATATTCATTTCCGACCTTATCCAATAATTACCGAACAAGTAACGTGTATTTTTATGAAATGTGTGGGCCTTTACAGATCATTTCAAAACCAAATGAGTTCCTACGTACTTCTTTTTAATATGGCGTAGTAAACATTTTTATGTGCTCTCGCAAGAGTTATGAAGCTTGTGATGATGATGAACCTATTGGTAATAAATTTAAAATAGCTATGAGACAGTTCAAGCTGCGTGGGATTCTTTTATTCAAAGTCAGGTATTTTTACAAATATTTGGTGTATTAGAAAGTAGCGTGTGTAAATGCATAGAATTTATTGGAGATGTTTGTTGTTAACTTTGGCTAGAAGTAGATGACAGCGCCGGATGTTCTTTTGTGTGACAGCTACCTACTCATTCTGCAACTCCGTATCACAGTATACAGGGAAATTTAGAAAATTGTTGCAACGTTTCTAGTATAATGCATCCATAGGAAATAATACGAAAAACGTATCCACGAAACAGATAAATAATTCAGCTAGGAATGTAACGATAAGCCCTTACAAGTCTCCTAGGGTCTAATTGCACTTTTTGGTAGGCTAATTTTGTATGAATTAAATCTATTAAGAAATTGATAGAGCTGTTTTCAGCATAACCTTTTGTTACAAAATGCTAGGAGGAATTTTGGAACAAGTCTTTTGAGCTTTGCAGTATTCGTATTTCAGCCACCTTTATGTTCTATCACAAAAGTTTTTTTTCATTATTATTGCCTGCTATACAAGAGTCTTTCAGAAAGACGTTCCAATATTTTTAGGGTAGAAAATTCATCCAAAAATAACTAGAAAAGCTCGTATAAATATTGGTTCAAACATGCTCCCCTATCGAGATGCAGAGTGATGAAGTTTTATTTACGAAATCGAAAAGAAAAGTTATATAAAAAACACACAGATCTTCCCGGACCAAACTAAACCAGCGACGTAGAAACTGGGGTACCTAATAGAAAATACTACATAAGCCACTGGCCTTTTTGGAGAAAAGTGCATTACTTAAAATACCTTTCAATTTTCCATAAGGATTCTGTAAAGAATTTTGGTTCCACAATTACTAGCTGTAATTTAAGACAAACAGAGGAATCTAACGTTGGTAATATACCAGGAGAAGTATACCATGAATACCAGTGGCGTGCATAGACAAGGTTTAATGGATGATAAGTTTCTACGCTACTGATTTAGGATAAGACAAGCATATTATTCAATAAATGTTATAATGCGGTGCCATAGCTTTCTTTACATGCCATATAGTGTTTCCACCTTGATTTCTGAATAGAGGAGGTTAAGCCTTTTCATAATATTATTTTAGGATTTTAAATGTTCAAACCTAAATATCTCTAAAACGAGTGATCTGACAAAAATTCCTTAAAAGACAAAATCCATAGAAAATTGAATGGTATTT